AAAAGAAAATATTAAAATAATGATATCCAAACATAAATATCAAAAATATCCCTTTTTGCCTTAATATCTGCAACACATATAATGAGATTTGAATGAGAGATAAAAAAAATAACAGTTCAGCAAAATACTGATAGAATAAAAAATAAATGTAACACACTAAAAAAACAGTATCAAAGATAAAATATGGTATTAAGTATAAATCTAATACTTAAGGCATACAGTCTGGACACAAAAAATTTTCAGTATCGTCCGCAGTCAAACCAGCATAATCCTCATGGACCCAAAAACCACATGAAGCACATCGTCTCATATCTGCTACATGGTCTTCGTAGCAAATCACACAGTGCCATTCTTCGTTATGTTCTTTTGTTTTTGAATGGAAGACACAGATTCAGATGGCGATTTAGCGGTATTCGATAAGACTGGAACGGGATCAAGTTGAGACTCCATCTCCTTTAAAAATACGGATCGCTTGACTTTAACTGCTTTGTAATTTATAGCTTTACGTCTTGGAGCAGATTTTTTTTTGACTAGATCTGGTGTTGGTAACACTTCCGCGAAGGAATTATTCAAAGGGATTATTTTTTTACGCAATTCACCTAAAGGCAGGAGTTATCTGAATCATATTCCGAATCATCGGCAGCGGCGGTCGTCTCCTGGTAAGGTTTCTCAGTTGCAAGACTTGGGGCAAATGCTTCAATGGGAAGAACATCCTTATCATAAGGGCATATTCCCGTAGCTCGAAAGCCGCTTGTAATATTTCCAATGGACATTGCTTTCTGCCATGTAGGTGTGGAAACTTCAGAAAATCTTTCCTTGTTTAAATCACGTGTAGGATGTTTATCCCAGTACTTTAACAATTCATCATCCCAATAAGCTTCAAAGGCTCGAAATATATCTTTGTCCATCGGCTGAAGCTCATGGGTGGTGTTACTCGGCAGACAATATAAGTGAATCTCATGAGCTTCTGCTTTCTCAGCAATGCTAATATCCAAATGGCATTTGGTCCCATCAAAAATTAAAATTGCTGGCGGAGGCGACATGTATTCAATGAAATGGTCTAACCACTTATCAAACGTTTCTATCGTCATGCTCCCTTTAGGCGTCATCATAACTTTTGAGCCAGCCGGTAAGCCATCTGAGTAGGTTGGCTTCATTCTCTTGCCCTTAAAAAGAATGACAGGCGGTATGGCATGTCCGAGAGCATTAGCGCAAGCGACGATAGTTGCGTTTTCGGCGTGTTCATGAGAAATTACATGCACTCGTTTTGCTCCTTTGGCTGCCAGAACGTTTTGTTGGTGGTGAAGAGTCAAGCGGCAACCCTTCTCGTCCATATTATAAATGTTTGCTTCTTTATTTTTTAACTGAGTGCGCTCCAACAAATCTCCTAGTTTTTTGAAATGATCTTCTACGATAAAACGATTTAGTTTTTGGGCTCTTGCTAGATTCATGAATTGAGATCGACGTTTTGATATTCTCGGATGATTTTTCAGAAAAGTCCTTACCCACTCCCTACCAGCGAGACGAGTTTCCTGATTGAAACAATGCTTAATGCTTTTGGTGTTAGCGGAAAACCTTTATCGGCTAGCCGAATTATTTTATTCTCAAGGTCAGTCTCTTCATTATCGGTCAAAATTGTTTGTCTACCTAGTTTTCTCTTCACGCTTTGTGATTTAATGTGGTTCCTAAGTGTTCGTCTGGGTATTCCGTATTTTTGTTCCACCCAGCGCTGAGATTTTCCCTCGTTAATATAATTTAATGCCTCTCTCATCATCTCTTCATCCCAATTTGCCCTTATCCCTCTGCTTTTTTTACCCATCTTCTGTAAAAGAATAAATAAATCTAATGAATACGTGTATTCATGTCGGCAGAAAATAAAGCCCAAGCCTTTTTCAATGCATTGTAGAAAATAAGGTCCGGGCCTTATAACCTGTAGCAAAATAAAATTAATTTTGAGGTTATTAAACAACAAACAAACCCAACATAAAAAGAAACGCTACGTAAAATGAAACTATCAGATACATAGATTATCATGCATACATAATGAAAAATCTACGTATTATTAAAACAATTCAATTTACTTACTTACCGGTCGAAATTCTTATAAAATACAGCACAGCGAAACGTGACACAATAGAACAAGCCAGGAAGCTCATAACCATAGAACAAAATTACGTACATTTCCGGCAACAGTAATACTAAATATTATTAACAGATGGCGATATAAATATTTTAGGCGCTTTCCTTTGGGCAAACCAGCGTTGGGCCTTAATATCTGGTGGGCCTTATTACCCCCGGGTACCTTATTAAAAAAGGCAGTAAATTTGTTTTTACAGAGTGTAAAATCAGTAAAACACCTGTTTGTGCTTTTTGATTCACGACAATTAAAGACGCAATGTCATTTATTTTAGGCCTTGACAACAATTATGATCCAAAATCACATTTAAATGACTCTATAAAGTCATGTAATTTTGCAATATTCATTCACTTTTATTCTGTCATAATAATACTATTTATTTGGTTCGAAAAAATCCAGAATTTTGAATTCAGTCTTCTTAGACTTCGATTGTTACTCTTTTCTGCCTTTTAGCTGTATGGCAGTATATGTCCACAGACATTCAATTTTATCTTGCAATTTTAGAAATCGAATACTGACGATAATAATTTATTAACGACTACAGCGGATGTTTTGATTATAAAAAAAAAGAAAAAGAAACAACTAAATCGAGGCAAGTGGAAAGAAATGGCTTTTAATGAGGCCTCGTATACAGGGTGTAAACGTTATGATTGTCATTATTCAAATGGCTGATAGAGGGGGTAAAAGAAGCAAAAAGTTTCATATAACATGGGGGTCAACACGGCATTTTTTTAGAGAAAAGCGACTTTAAATTAAAATAAAATTTGACAACGCCGCAATGCCCGACGCAAATTACGACGGAACGCAGTGTAAATAAAAATGGAGTTTGTTATTTTGGGCTCTTAGGTATTATTTCATTATTGATAATGTACTCGTAAAATGCAAACAATTAAAAAAACGGACTTACCACTAACTGTTTCAGCGCGTCATCTGGTGTGTGAAAGTTTATTGAACGTATTAAAAAAATCCACTTATAACGGGTATGGGATTTGATTTAAAAAAAAAACACAAAAAAATTGAAAAAACGATTAAATCTTCATTTGAATCGATAGAACGGTCGATATAATTTAATGTTTAAAGATTATTTCATATAAATGTTGGCCGCGGCTCCGCTTTAGATGGCCCATGCGCAAGGTCCAATTTTGGCACACTCTCTCCAACATTTCGGCCGGTATCTCACGAATAAATGCTTCAATATTGGCTTCCAGTGCGTCAATCGTTGCTGGTTTATCCCTGTAGACATTAGCCTTAACATGGCCCACAAGAAATAGTCCAACGACGTTAAATCACACGATCTAGGCGGCCAATTGACGGGCCCCAAACGTGAGATAAACTGTTCACCGAACTCGCCTCTCAATAGGGCCATTGTTTCGTGTGCTGTGTGGTATGTGGCACCGTCTTGTTGAAACCACATGTCAGCCAAGTCCAGCTCTTCCATTTTGAGCAAAAAAAAGTTTTTTATCATCGCACGGTAGCGCTCGCCATTCACTGTTACGTTCCGGCCATTGTCGTCTTTGAAGAAGTACGGCCCGATGATGCCACCGGCCCATAATCCACACCAAACAGTGATTTTTTCGGGATGCATTGGTAGCTCTTGTAATGCTTCTGGCTGGTCTTCACTCCAGATGCGGCAATTTTGCTTGTTAATGCACCCATTCAACCAGAAATGAGCATCGTCGCTGAACACAATTTTTCGATAAAAATGTGGTTCTTTCTCCAACTTTGCTAGCGCCCATTCACCAAATTGGAAACGCTATAGGAGGTCGTGTGGCGTCAATTCTTGCACCAGCTGTATCTGATAAGGTTTTACACCCAAATCCTGTCGCAAAATATTCCACGTAGTGGAGTAACAGAGGCCCAATTGCTGCGAACGGCGGCGAATCGACATTTCACGGTCATCACTAACACTGTCGGATACAGCCGCAATATTTTCTTCAGTCCTCACTCTACGTCTGCGTGTTGGTGGTTTAATGTCCAATAATGTAAACTGGGTTCGAAATTTAGTCACAAGCTTCCGAATAGCTCCCTCAGTAGGCCGACCAAATTGCCCATAAATTGGAAGCAGTGATCGATGGACTCTCTTAACCGAGCGTGAATTTTGATAGTAAAATTCAATAATTTGCAAGCGTTGTTCGTTCGTAAGTCGATTCATGGTTAAATTATAGACCAAACTGAACAAGTTTGACAATGACACAAGACACGATTCACGCGTCATCTGTCAAAAACAGTTTTGCCAAAAAGATACTAGCAAAAAAATCACCCATTAAATAGGGAACACAATTTTGATACATACATTGTTTTTCCTTTTAAAACAAACACTGCACTTTTTTGTATTTAAAGAAGGTGTTCAAAATGTCGTCCTCCACTTTCCACACAAGCTTCATTACGACGAACCCAGTTTCTTCTTACTCTAGGTCCTCGAAGTTGTCCATTTATTATTTCAGTCGCATTAAAAATTTTTTCGACATACGCGAACAAAAACAAAACAACATACTAACCACTGTTGCCGTTTGCGATCGATTGCAGGTTGGATAAGAGTGATGAAGACCTTCGTGTTGTTGTCATGTGTGTTTTGAATATTCAATTTAATGAAAATTACTTACTCACTACAAATTTTGGCTTAACTTAGAAAAATTTAATGCCATTTATTTGTTAATTACCCAAATTAAAAACGTTTTAGATTAGATTATAAAAATTAGTAAGATTGTGGTCGATATAAAGCACGTAAAGTTGTAAACTATAAAGCCATTTATACAACAATCTATTGACTCCCTATCACCCATTACAATAATGACTACCGTTTTCACCCTGTATATGTTGCATGGTGGTGACTAAATTTCTTGACCACATTTTTCAATTGCAGGTCATGAACGTTGTAATACCGGATGAATTCCTTGGTTGGTCGAAACCGAGCGACATCCCGACCACTATAAATATTGTCATACCACCTAAACCAGTACCGGTAAGAATATTTACTAGTGTTACAAAAAGTTTATACAGTAGTTCACAATTTAAAACAGAGTATAATAATACCACTAGAGGACCTTTAGTATAGTCAAATCTCAAAATGGAGAATAGTAGCATAAACTATCCTACACCACTGCTTTGTGTATATGTACGTGGATATCACCGTACTGAAACATATACCGCGTTAACAGTGACGTGCGATACTTTCTTCAATTTCGGTACTTGACTATAGTAATGATAATTCCCATTTCAGCAAGAAAGTGTTAATGTAGAGAAAGAAGATCTGACAGAGGCAGAAGAACCACTAGAAGAACAAGAAAGACATGATGGATTTGCTAATCTAGAAACCCTTGAGGTAACTAACATTAATTTGAATTATACAGGGTGTCCCGGCAAAAATAAGAAGTAGCTCTATGAGCCAACTGGAGAAGATATAAAAAATCTTCGTGGTATCCTTGATATGTCACTTTTGCATATTTTGAATTTATTCTAATATACGTATATGCAGGGTGTACTATAACTTCGTATTATGACAAACATGTATTTTTTAATATAATACTGTATATTTAAATTCATATTTGGATAGAGCTTCTAAAAACAAGAAGTTAGAAATCAGATAACATATGGTTTCGATTGTGTTTAGATAATTGGTGAAATATCTCAAAAAATTCTCAAGTTTCAAGGCTCCCAGTTCCGCCAGTTTTGAAGATATTTAGATAAAATTTAGCTCACAAAAATTTTATTTTCGATTTCAAGTCGATCTAAAGAAAATGGTAAAATATCTTTTTATTTATTTAGGGCATCTCGAAACGCAAAATGTACATTTTCTCATAAGTTTCGAATGGAACACCCTGTACATTTCTACATCATTAAGTAGCTTTTCTTGGGAACTTTTTCTTGATGGAGGCTTAAACCACTTTTTTTAACTGTTTTCGAGTTATTGTTATTAATTCCAAGAAAAAAATGTTTTCCACATTTGGACATAAAATCAGATGTTTCAGAAAACAATGAAATTTTCATTCAGATGTTGATATCTAGACAATTGACAATCAATACCATTTGTTATATGATATTGACCTTCTTGTTCTTAGAACCCCTATTCAAATATGCAATAAAATATAGGATGTTCTATTTAAAATATATATATATATATATATAAAATATATATATATATATATATATATATATATAGGTGAAAAATTAAAGCTTCCGCCTTTTGTTGGGTACTTCGACAAAATTTAAGCAAAGAGGACTCTTTATACTTTTTTTAATTCTCTCTAGCTTTCAATGGACTTTGCCATCATCATCATCAGGAGCTGCAATTACAATGATAACAGTAGCAACAAAAGTGTAAAATGAATTTAAATTGAATCAACTTACAGTAGTATGTGAGGATGTTGCTAATTGTTGTTTTCGTATAGGATGAGGGAAACGTCCAGTAACATGGTGAGAGCTGGATATATGGTACAATGGTTAAAATTATAAAATATATTTGCCGAACTCTGGTGATGCAGGTAATAGTCACACAACCCCTAATAATAACGGAACTGATGTAATTCCCAATAATAGCATCAATCCAAACAGTACAAGCACCAACCCAGACTCCAGACCTGGTTTTGCTGTCCTGCCCTATATCAAGGAACTGACCCCTAAGCTGATCAGATTGTGCAGTCCTTTGAACTTTCGAATTGCTTGCAGATCCGTCCTCGCTATAAACCGCATTTTTTCAAAAATGAAAGACAAAGTCCCGCTACTACTAACTAACACAGTCTACTCCATCAATTGCAACAACTGCAACCAAATATACATAGGTCAGACCTCCAGATCTCTTAAAGGAAGGATTACATCACACAAAAGTGATGCTAGGCTTCATCCTGAAAGATGCGCTCTAGCATCTCATGTTAACACAACAGGGCATTCTATGAATTACACAAGTATCAAAGTTCTTGATAAAGAAAAACACCTTTCCAAACGTTTATTCCTGGAAATGTCCCACATTTTCATGAATAACAACTGTATCAACAAAAAGAGAGATATTAAACAACTGAGTGTCATTTACTCATATTTGCTAAACTGCGAAAAATTGGAGAACTTACATATCTCCCCAAATTTCGACTTTTCACAACCATAAATATAATCTGTGTTTTGGCCGATTCCACCAACAAATTTCATTCCACTCAAAATCTAATAATTCTCTTCTCACGATTTATTAATATTTATTAATTTAAAATTCCCATTAATTAAAATATAGTTTATTCAACTGCCTCTGGTCGGTTTAACAATTTCTTACATAACATTCTGAAAATCACATCATCTGAAGTGATTTGGCAACGTTTTGGCACACGCCCACAATTCGTTCCATCTTTCAACACAGACATTGACAACTGTCTGTCAAAGGTTCATCTCACTCATTATTCCATGACCACCATTTTGTGCAATCATCAAGTGGCTTCACGACGTAATGCTCTAATGTTTTCTAAATAATTTTTAATCTGTCTTTAACTTGTCTTGTCATATTTTATATAATTTAACCATTGTACCATATATCCAGCTCTCACCATGTTACTGGACGTTTCCCTCATCCTATACGAAAACAACAATTAGCAACATCCTCACATACTACTGTAAGTTGATTCAATTTAAATTCATTTTACACTTTTGTTGCTACTGTTATCATTGTAATTGCAGCTCCTGATGATGATGGCAAAGTCCATTGAAAGCTAGAGAGAATTAAAAAAAGTATAAAGAGTCCTCTTTGCTTAAATTTTGTCGAAGTACCCAACAAAAGGCGGAAGCTTTAATTTTTCACCTAACTGGTCTAGACAACAATGACCACGTCTCAAGTTATATATATATATATATGGCACGAAGTTATGGAACACCCTGTATATATGCTAATAATTTTAAAATATGCACTAGAAACATATTAAGGTTTTCACGAAAACTACTTTGCATTTTCGTTGGCACACCCTGTTTAAAAGAGTTGTACGTCAGTTTGTAACTTCTGGAAAAGTTTCAAGCACTTTTTTATCCAGAATTGGGTTTAACAAGATTTAACATTAAATCATTTTTAGGGTGACGAACTGGTAGGTAACAGAGAAGCAGAAACAAACGTAGATGCTGAAAGGGAGAACCAAGTAAAAGACTACGATGAAGAAGTAAGTTGATGGATAACCCTCAGAATAATTAAATGTTTACTCATTGTTCTCTTTGTAGGATGAGGTAAAAGTGAATAATCGGAATAGAGAATTTGACGAAAGTCCAAAAATAGGAAGTCAGTTAAGAGATAGAGATGAAGAAGACGTAAGTATTTATAAGCTTTGTAAAGCAAACAAGTAAAGAATCAGGTGAAATATCATGTTCCTTCTTTTTATATTCATTTCAAATCTATATCACTATTTACAACAGCAGATGATTATGAAGGGTCCAAATCAGTGTCGCCGAACCGAAAAAGACGAAATCGGTAGATGGAAAAAAAGATCAGCGGTGGATCAAAGGCATTTGTGTCACTCAGCGTCAAGATAAGAAATGTATAATAAATTGTGAGCACATACAACACATGTTTTTGATAGCATCTTTTGCTGAAAAAATATCTCTATTACAACGAGCATACTGGTCGCTTTTTAAACTCGTTTGCAACCATCCTGGAAACTCGCTTTCTCATTCTAATTTATAAGATTGTGAACATGTTTCTGTTTTTCCCCTGAACTTGAAGCATCATCACCTGACATTTTAATTTAATATTTAATTAAAATCGGAAGAGCTTTGGTTTTCTTGTTCTGGTCTGGTGAGGGTAGTGATATACCGGTTATATGCACAAAAGTCGGAAAAATGGAGTAAGTGGTCCGTGTAAATAATTATAGGCAACCCAAAGCTACGTCCCTCGTGTCCCCGACTGCCTAAGTATAATACGGATATCGTCGCTTAAGTTCTAACACCACGTAACTCAAAAAATCAAGATATGCCCGTACTTCAAAAAGTCTACCATGGTGGCTGAAATGTCGTTAGTAAACAGTGTTTCAAGCATATGTGGTTTCATTTAACAAACAATTATATGCGGTGTACCTCAAGGTACACTTTTGGGTCCTTTTTTACTTAACTTATACGTGAACAGCTGACTAGATTTACAAATAGAGGGAGCTGTCGTTTGTTTTGCTATTCTTTATTCAGATGAATCGTCGTGGTATAATGTTAAGGAGAAGGTAGAAAAGGATTTCATTACAATTTCTGATTTATTCAACCATAAACGCTTCACTATGAATTACCAAAAAACGATGTTTATGCCGTTTTCCAATGATTCTGATTATACTGCTATTGAGATAAAACAAAATCCAGAAAGTACTCACGAAATCATTAATAATAGAATCTACCAACAAAATCTGGGCGTACTTTTGGATTCGCACATGAAATGGATTTATCATATTGACCATATTACCTTGAACTTGAGACGTCTGCTATTCAAAATAAAATATCTAAGTAACTATCTGGATGAAAAGACCATGAAAATGATTTACCAAGCTCTGCTGGAGTCTTTATTGCGACATGGTTTATTAGCTTGGGGTGGCGCACTAACCGTTCACTAAGCAAAACTTGAGGTTTTAGAAAAACAGTTTTTAAAAATAATTTGTAATAAAAACAGACCTTATCCGTCAGAACAGCTGTATAGAGATGCAGAGACTGCTAGATCTTCGGCAATTGTTTTCGTTCAGTATGTTGGTGTATCAATTTAAAATCAAACATACGTTAGTACCGATACAATATACTTATACTAAGTGACATATAAATCCGAACACCCAGTTTAAATGGTTTTATTTCAATAAAATTTTGTATAAGTACTTAATGAAGCATAATAAGCAAATGATAAAAATTTCAAAATGATTGCACTGCTTTAAAGCCCTTTGATCTTTAATAATGTGTGGATGCACCCTGATGTGATACGCATTCTCCAACGCGCCTAGGCATGCTTCTGATCAGGTGGTCAATGTCCTCCTGTGGTATCTCATTCCAGGCAACCACCAACTCCTCTCGAAGTGCTTCTAGAGTCTGAGGAGGACGTTGCAAATTGAGCAATCTCCTACCCATCATATCCCACACGTGCTCAATTGGGGACAAGTCGGGAGATCCTGGTCGCCATGGTAACAATGTGACATCATTGTGTTGAAAGAAGTCTATTGTGACTCTTGCAACATGTGTTCGGGCATTATCTTGTTGGAAAGTTGGATCTGCCAGGGTGTCAAGATAGGGTAAAAGATGGGGTTCTAGAACTTCGTGGATATAACGCTGCGCGTTCATGTTACCTCTGATGAAGATTAATCTTTACCTTAACCTTTAAAGGTGACCTGGAACCATAAGCTATAGCACCCCAAACCATAACTCCAACAGTGTGATAAACATGTCTTTCAACAAAAAACTGTGGATTCCTAAACAAAATCGAGACTCGTCACTAAATACTGTTCCATTCCTGATCCCAGAGTGACCGTTGTCTGCACCACTCAAGGCGATTACGTCGGTGTTCTCGAGTTAAAGGGAGGACCCAGTGTGGCCGGTATGAAAACAAGCCAAAACTTCTCATTCGTCGGTAAACACTTCGCATGCCAATAGGTCTTCCGTGTTCTGCAAACCATTCATTTGCAATGGACCTGGTAGTGGAGAAACGGTCCCTTAAGGCCAATAATCTTAGGCGGCGATCTTCACGGTCTGTTGTTCTACGGCGGCGTCCAGTGCCTCTTGCTCTTTGCGTACGGCCTTCTCGAAACCATGCCTGACAACACCTAACCACAGTGTTTACACTTCTTTGCACTCTAACTGCAATTGCCCGAAAAGAAAGTCCAGCTTCCCGAAGTCCCACTATACGGCCCCTATCAAACTCACTAAGTTGACGAAATCGTACAGGTCTCCGTACACTAGGCATCGTAACCGATCGTAAAGGATGTCAAGAACCAAAATCCGCCAACGTTGATTCTTTACTGCGGCTGAAATATTCATTTTTAGAGCGTTAGTGAATTTAAAAAAAACAGTAAGATAAATAAAACCAAGCAGAACTCTTTTGTCTACCAAAAAAATAGGGCAAAGATTCTATACGTATCTCGCCATTCGTTTGCATAACTTCCTGCCTGATGAAATAAAAAAAATATATTCGTTCCAAAATTTAAAAAAGACAAAAAAAATTCTTACTTGAAAAGGGACAAGAACAAGTTCTCATAATTATAGAAAATAAGTAAAATATTATACTTACATTTAGTGTGTCGTGTTCATATTTAAAAAAAAAATTGTTACCGATTTTAGTGTGTATAATAAAAATGTTTGACTTACCTATTGTTTCTTTAATTGATAAAGTTCATTACTGTTTCTTTGTCTTTTGTATCTTTAAAAAAAATTACAGATGTTTTAACAAATTAGTAAACCGTTGATTAGGTAATACTTTTATATCTCTGTTTTTTAGATGTAGGTTTTTTAAAATAAAAAAAATGTTGTATACTCTAGTAGTCTTTATCATTATATTTTGTAAATATTCAACATCATGTAGCTAAAAATGTGCTGGCAGGGCAATGATAAGTTGAAAGTGTATGACCCCAATGAATATATTTCTTTTGCTACTAAATTGTATTTTTTCCTCAATAAATATTATTATATATTATACTTAGAGGCCACGCTAACACATGGCATTTGATAGAAAATCGAGAGACCCATCGACCTTTAGCTCTCCTAAAATGTTGTTTATGCGGTATTAGAACTTAAGCATTGATATGCATGTTTGGTATATGACGCATAAAACTACACAGACTACATAGAATTCATTTGTTTAGCTTTATTTTTGGTTCCAGCAGTTTTTCGGTAAAAAAACTGGTAATATCTGAATTGTTTCAAAAAACCGTGGAAAATGAGGACGCTTTCGGCATCACTGGTGCAAAAGTAGGCTACTTACTCCCAGATTCTAAAATAAATTAACAATTTTTGTCGTTTGGTAAAATCAATACATTTCTACAGGAAGAAAATGAACGAGGGCTAGGCGACGATGTACCGAATAATTTCGACGAAGACCGAAATGAAGACCAAATTTCAAACGCAATACACCCTAATACAGATAATAACAATGAAGAGGAAGATGAGGATGAAATTTTGGAAGAAGTAAATGAAGCTGATAATGATAACGATCGAGGAGCCCCGGACACGTCTGATAGGCCTGGAAAATGGATACAAAATTACCGAGAAAGGTTGACCAGCTTAACTAAGACAGCTAAAGACAGCGCTAAGGTAAGGGAAGAAGCTCCCAGGGTAACTGAGGAAGACGAACCTGCTTTTCCCCAGAAAGTTGCGGGATCAAGATCCAAGATAGGTAAGATATTACATAATTATTGTTTCTTAAAATTACTGTATAAATATACATATGAACAATTTTCCACGGTTCTGGTCGTTGAATAAAATCACAAAGGCTATAGGTGAAACTACGTATATGAAAATTCCCCCCAACGGTATGCAAATCTGGATCAATCCAAATTATTATTTTTAAAATGGTGCATGATGACGTACGACTAATACCCAGTTCTTGAGAACGATATCTGGTAGACGTTTCAGGGCGCTCCACTACACTTTCACGAACTCTCGATATTTTCCGAAGTCTTTAACTTCACCTGTCGACTCATAAACGTTTTAACAATATGGACGCGTTGTGAAATCGTGTAACGCTCCATGATGAATTGAACACATGTGCTTTAAACAACTACTAGGCGCCATCTACTAAAATGCATGTATCAAAAATGGCGCACAATTTAAATCAGTCAGTTATAAATAGGCCACCCTGTACTTCAATTTTGATTAATATAGATTTAGATACCTGTGAGGGCAACTTTCATATATGCCTATAGCCGTCAGAGTTGCGTTTTTACTAACGTTTCGGCCACGTCGGTGGAGTTTTTCAAAGTTGAGATCACCCAGGTGGCCGAAACGTTAGTAACAAGTCAAGCCTGTGACTTCATTTAAAAAACTAAACGTATTTTTGTTGTAGGCAAGATCCTGGAAGGATTCAGGGAAAGACTGAACAAAAATAAAATTGAAGGGGGTAGAAGTATACTTTCTTCGTCAGGTCAAGACCGATTTACCAATCAAGAGACACATTCTAAGAAAGTAGAAGCCATTGAAGGGGAAGATGTTGAGCTAGAAGGTGATGAAAGATTAACAAAAACTGGACAAAAGCAAAACCGAAATCAAGATGCTGATCATGGTGCGTATGTCAACAAAAAATTTAATCAACCATTTCTCATCCAAAAGTTGTTAACAACCACTAAGCTTTCATTTTCTATTCCAGAATTGCGGTTAGAAGGAAAATTAGATTCCGATACCCGCGAGCAGCCTCGAGATTTTGCATTGAGAACATCTGACATCCAAAATCATGAGATTATACACTCGACTCATAAATTATCGGATTTCCCTTTTAAAAACGTGGCAACTACAGGAAATGGAAGGTTAACCTCAGAATCGCATCTCAAAGTTTCTGAAGACCGCATATCTGCTGATTCTCCGCAGCCCACTGCACAGCAGTCCTCTCAAGACCTCTTAGATGATACCAAACCAAGAGAAACGCAATCACAACTTCAGGAAGGATTGAACATTGATTCTCCATTCAAATTCGCACCTGGAGAAGACCCAACGTGGCAAGAACCTGATAGGGAACTAGCTCTTAGTGGAATCAACCAAGAAAATCTGTTACCGACAATAAAAAGTACTATTTTTGAGGATCACTTCTCTTCAACACCAAGTCTTCAAGAAATAATCAGCTCTGCCAGAGATAAGTTCAGAAAGACTTTTGCGGAAAGCACAAGGAATTCGGAAAGCAAAAGTCCTGAAACTGTGACTGGTACAAGTTCAGACAGAACCCTTAAGCCTAATTTAGGTCAAGGTAACAAGCTGTATAACACTTTCAAAACAGATCCAGAATCACAGGATGCTTCTAGATTGGACAGACTTTTAGGAGATTCTACGACCTTACAACAAAGTCCTGGTATAGAGCAAGTTCCAGGTGATGGTGCAATACCTATAAGCAAGCTCCTGAATCCTGACATACTACGCGCAGATGGAGAAGTAGTTGGCCAATCCGTCAAGACAATTGGACAAGGCACAGGCCAAATGATCCAAGACACATCTAACATCCTAGGGGACACTATTATCAAGACTAGCGGGCAAGATTCTTCTGGTATAGGAAACATCTTAGGTTATGTTGATGATCTAGCTTCCAGGAGCAATGTGCAAGAGATTTTAAATAGAAACTCAGGAAGTTCAGATGATAAAACCTTGAGCCAGGTTCTCGACAAGAGCTCTGCTGAAAATTCCGGTCGTACATTATATACACCTCCAAAAATATCGCCATTGGACAACACTGGTACTCCAAGGTTCAGCTTAGGTACCTCAAATCAAGAAGACACGATTGGTAAAGAATTAACTCCACCATTTAGCAGATTCGGAAACTTCGATCTGGGAAAACTAGCTTTTCCCTCTACTTTACAACCGTTCAACAAAATTGAGGATGCAAATCTCAGACCACCAACTGAAGAACATGGTTTTATAGGACTTACATCGCCCATCACTCTTAAACCTCTAAACAGAATTGATTCAACTCCGACAAATGTTGGCTTGGGTGTTCCACAATCTGAGCTGGTTGTAGAGCCTCCAGGTCTTGATACAAGTGATAGTAGCGAGGAAGAACTGAAGACTGGTCAAACTGGGTTCTCCAGAGGGTCAAACGATGGCATCGTGAGGCAAAATCAAGCAGTAGTAGCTGAAGGTCTTCCAGCTATTGGGAAATTTGGTAAGTTTGACAGATGTATGTTTCCACAGTCCACGTCATTTATTTTTTAATTAGTATTTCAAAATTTTTGAGGCAGTAGGGTTTCATCGAATTTTTATTTCTGTGAGAAAAATTGATAAAGTTATTGAAAAATACTTTGAGGTGTATAAAAAACGAGGTACGGATGATTACGAAATTCGTAAATTTTGATTATTTAATAGTTATGTTCATGTTTTGGTGAAAGCAGTCACTGATTTGAGTTCCTAGTACACTTCATTTCGAAGGTAAACACACTAATGACCTTATTATGTGATAAATATAAATATTTTCAATGAAATAAATTTATATTATTTATGTATACAGGGTGTTTCAGTTTATTGTTGCATAACTTTAAGACTCGATAGAACTTTTAAAATTAATGCATAAAGCAATAATTCCTAACTCCAAATAAACACAAAAAACAGAATATTAATTTGTTTAATTTTCCAATATTATTTTTAACAAATTAAATTAATTATTTACAACTAAAATGCTATTGGATAGTTAGGACAAACATACAAAATCTAAAGTAGTTGCTCGAAATGTAAACCCAATTGTTCAGTACACAATTCACATCTACGAATGATCGAACGTGGTATAGCATTATTCAAATAAGGCCTTATTTCATCACATGCATTCCTGATTCTGTCTGTTAGCATATCTCTTGTGGTTACGGAAGTCTGGTAAACTTTTTCTTTTAGAAATCCCCACACAAAGAAATGTAATGGATTTAGGTCAGGGGATCGTGGAGGCCAGACGACTGGTCCTCCACGGCCGATCCATCTTTCTGGATAATTTTCGTCCAGCCAGTTTCTAACTATTCTCGAAAAATGAGCTGGGCAACCATCAAGCTGGAACCAGGCCAATCTTCTTAAATCTAACATAACATCATCCCACATATTTGCATGTTCAGCCTTTAAAAATTCCAAGAAGGTCGCAGCTTTTAACCTTGCAGGCAAAAGGTAGGGTCCAAATTTTTCGATTACGGTAGATACCAATCCACACGTTCACACTAAATTCATGCTGAAAATTTCTTTCCCGAACTGCATGCGGATTTTCATGCGACCAAATATGTTGATTATGAAAATCTACCACTCCACGTCTAGTGAAGCATGACTCATCGGTCCATAAAACGTTAATTAAAAACTCCCTATTATTATCAGTTCTATCAAGAATCCACTGACAAAATGTGATTCTTCGTTCTCCGTCCCCTGGCTATAGTCCTTGCTCAGGTTGCAAATGGTAAGGATGTCTATGGTCATTTCTAAGAACACCGTGAACATGGTTTGCTGAAATTCCCAAGGCACCAGAAACTCTCCTAACACTTGTGATCTCTATCAAACTCACGCAGAATCATATGGGTAAATCTGCGCTGACGAACATTTATGTTTTGATCCCTTTGGAGATTTCCAGAACCATTTTCAATTATTTGGCGATGCACTCTTACAAATACTGAGCGAGTTGGATGTCGTCTGTTTGGAAATCTTCGTGCTCATTCTCTGGCTGCTTCTGCTGCGTTTCCATTTACAAAGCCATACACAAAATGAATATCCGCTAACTCTTGATTGCAGAATAAAAATGGCATTTTTATAAAACTTACAAAAAAAAAACAGGTAAAAGAAACTAAATTTCGTGCATTCACAATTGCAAAAAAACGTTTCAGGTTTCAACAGACAACAAAACTAACTGGCAACTAATTGACGTTTAATCTTATTCTGCTTTCAATATCAAAAATATTTGCAGGCACAGCCTACTTCTAAAAATTATCGAGATACTGACTGTTTAACGTTATTTTATCATAAATAATTAAAAATGCATCGAACCTTAAAAATCGAAATATCTCAAAAACGGCTAACTATAACGAAAATTCACAAGAGAGATGTGAAAAGTGCGAAGAATCAGTTTTTTTATTCAAAAAGCAAAAAGTTGCACTAAGAAAAAAATTTCGGTCATTTTAATACACTACAGGTATAGTAGAGAGCGCCCTCTAGCGGCTACAGTAAAACTATGCCCATGGTTCGTTTTGTCGTACTAAAAAACCCTTGTATACCAATTTTCACTGTTATACATCAAATATTGTTCGAAATATTTAAAGAACACTATTTTAGAAAGTAAATTTAAACATCCTGTTTTTCGGAAGCCACGCATTTTCGACCCATGTTTATATAGACTTTATGCATTAATTTTAAAAGTTCTATCGAATCTTAAAGTTATGCAACAATAAACTGAAACACCCTGTATAATGAGAATCAGTTAAAACTTCGAACTCCACACCCCCCATAACCTCAAATGCACTAGCGACTCAGGGGAGGAAATTTTAGAAAAGCCAGCTGCTACGCATGGGAACGCTTGTATGTGAGCATGATTACATATTCGCTTTCTGGACATTTACGGCACAGCTAAACATTTAAACATACCACACTAATGCCAAAAAAGCGCATAAATTGTCGTACCCCTATACACTTTTTGTCGGACCTGTGTACACTTCTTTCGGCAATGTCATTCACACATTCACAGAACAACAAACAGCATTTTATGTTTGATGGTAGCATTTTATAGCCAAAACAATATCAATAATAAAGTCAAAGAAATAAGAGAAACTGCAAATTTCGAGATCATCCGCATCTCCATCGTTTCTTCGTGCCACACAAAGTATGTTTCAACAGTTTTTTAGATTTTCTTCATAGTAATAAAAATTCGATAAAGCCCGACTCGAGCACAGAACTGTACTTCTTTCTTTTTTTTGCGATCTCTATATATTGCAATAATCCATTTAACCTCTTTTATAATTTTCTCGTAACACAATTGACATTTTTGGGACACCCAATACAAGTCAAAATTATGTCTCTGTCTCCCGGACTATTAAGCTTGCTATCATATATCAACTTATGTTGCCTTCAAAGTCTATTTTTCTAGAACAATTCCTTTTTCCAATTACTCATTACTTTCACTTTTTATAACGAACCTTGAACTAGAAAAATGGCTATTTTTAATTGTTTTCCATAACAGTAAACCCTATATAACCACTTCGCGTATATACGCGGTCTGAAACTGTTCGAACCAGGCCTCCGTGGCGCAATCGGCTAGCGCGTTCGGCTGTTAACCGAAAGGTTGGTGGTTCGAGCCCACCCGGGGGCGAGTTTTTTTTTCACCTGTTTTCCATTTAATACGTTCCTATTGTTAATAATAATTCTCAATAAATCATTTTATTAGTCCAGTGACGAGGGTTCGTAGAACTTTTTTTGAGAATGTGGTATCTCTATAAACACACCTTGTAATAAAGTATTTTTCCAGATGTCCACACGCCGTTCAGCAAACTCCGTAGCAGTGTGAATAAACCCTCAACAGCTAATCCAATATCCAACTTCGAGACCGCAAAAAATGCTCTATTGAAGCTCCAGCAACTTACAGGTAAGTTTTGAAAAACTTTTAACTAAATTATTCATTCCAAAGTGACATAGAAAAAATTACACCCACGCAGGTCAGCTTTGGGGAACTACGTTTTGCCTTATACAGGGTGATTCACAAGTCGTGACCAAAAATGAAACATCATACACAGGACCGCATTTTAACACTTTCAATGCTACAATACAGTGTTGACAAACTTCATGGACGGACGGTGCATTTGTTTGGAAAGAATACCGTTAAAATATTGCTAGTATGTCTTCTACAGGGTGACTTTGAAGTTGAGTCATTAATTTTCAGATAATGATTGTAGAAGGAAGATAAACCAAAATATGTTGTAAAAATAAAAAAAAAATTTAAAAATGTTACCTTGTTTTATAAAGTATCCTCCCGACAAGTATTTCAGTGCGGACCTGTATTTGATCGTGCGGTCTTGGAGCACCGGCATGCCCTCCCCTGTGAGGTCTTAAGTCACCTGATTCACGAGCCCTTTCTACTACATTAACAAAGGCACGAGGGGTTGGTTGCACTCGATTGGGAAACCGATTCGCATATTTCGTGATACCGCGGCAGCATTTTGTAAAGACTCCCCCCCCCCCGTAAATAAGAATCATGTCCACAAGTTCAGCATTTTCGTACACATGTGCCATTTTTTATTTCGTTTGAGCCACGCAACAAACACCACTATTCACTCACGCGTTACCGACTGACACATTGACTGAATACAACTGAATAAGATTGTATTAAAAACATCGCGTTTCAAATTCCGATGCGATGAACCGATAAGGCGGATTATATCCGTTGTTGCCAAACACGAGCACATAATATTATTATTGAGACAGGGCGGTACTCAAACTTCTAAAGGGCTATAACTTTGTTACTTCAATTTTACCAGAAAAATGTTAAAGGAAAAAACATTTATTTTGATCAGATTTACTCACTGTTAAAATAAATGACTCAACTTCGAAGTCACCCTGTATACAGGGTGTTTCAGTTTATTGTTGCATAACTTTAAGATTCGATAGAACTTTTAAAATTAATGCATAAAGTCTATATAAACATGGGTCGAAAAATGCGTGGTTTCCGAAATACTTTCTAAAATAGTTTTTTTTAAATATTTCGAACAATATTTGATGTATAACAGTGAAAATTGGTATACAAGGGTTTTTTGGTACGACAAAACGATCCATGGCTTACTGTAGCCGCTAGAGGGCTCTCTCTACTGTACCTGTAGTGTATTAAAATGACCGGAAATTTTTTCTTAGTGCAATTTTTTGCTTTTTGAATAAAAAAACTGATTCTTCGCACTTTTCAAGATAAAAAAGCTCTCTTGTGAATTTTCGTTATAGTTAGCCGATTTTGAGATATTTCGATTTTTAAGGTTCGATGCATTTTTAATTATTTATGATAAAATAACGTTAAAAGGTCAGTATCTCGATAATTTTTAGAAGTAGGCTGTGCCTGCAAATATTTTTGAAATTGAAAGCAGAATAAGGTTGAACGTCAATTAGTTGACAGTTAGTTTTGTTGTCTGTTGAAACCTGAACCTTTTTTTTGCAATTGTGAATGCACGAAATTTAGGTTCTTTTACCTGTTTTTTTTTGTAAGTTTTATAAAAATGACATGTTTATTCTCCAATCAAGAGTTAGCGGATATTCATTTTGTGTATGGCTTTGTAAATGGAAACGCAGCAGAAGCAGCCAGAGAATACGCACGAAGATTTCCAAACAGACGACATCCAACTCGCTCAGTATTTGTAAGAGTGCATCGCCAAATAATTGAAAATGGTTTTGGAAATCTCCAAAGGGGTCAAAACATAAATGTTCGTCAGCGCAGATTTACCCGTATGATTCTGCGTGAGTTTGATAGAGATCCGACCAGAAGTGTTAGGAGAGTTTCTGGTGCCTTGGAAATTTCAGCAAGCCATGTTCACCGTGTTCTTAGAAATGACCATAGACTTCCTTACCATTTGCAACCTGTGCAAGGACTACAGCCAGGGGACGGAGAACGAAGAATCACATTTTGTCAGTGGATTCTTGATAGAACTGATAATAATAGGGAGTTTTTAAGTAACGTTTTATGGACCGATGAGTCATGCTTCACTAGACGTGGAGTGGTAAATTTTCATAATCAACATATTTGGTCGCATGAAAATCCGCATGCAGTTCGGGAAAGAAATTTTCAGCATGAATTTAGTGTGAACGTTTGGATAGGTATCTAACGTAATCGAGTATTTGGACCCTACCTTTTGCCTGCAAGGTTAAATGCTGCGACCTTCTTGGAATTTTTAAAGGCTGAACATGCAAATATGTGGGATGATGTTATGTTACATTTAAGAAGATTGGCCTGGTTCCAGCTTGATGGTTGTCCAGCTCATTATTCGAGAATAGTTAGAAACTGGCTGGACGAAAATTATCCAGAAAGATGGATCGGCCGTGAAGGACCAGTCGCCTGGCCTGCACGATCCCCTGACCTAAATCCATTAGATTTCTTTGTGTGGGGATTTCTAAAAGAAAAAGTGTACCAGACTTCCGTAACCACAAGAGATATGCTAATAGACAGAATCAGGAATGCATGTGATGAAATAAGGCCTTATTTGAATAATGCTATACCACGTTCGATCATTCGTAGATGTGTATTGAACAATTGCAACTACTTTAGATTTTGTATATTTGTCCTAACTATCCAATAGCATTTTAGTTGTAAATAATTAATTTAATTTGTTAAAAATAATATTGGAAAATTAAACAAATTAATATTGTTTTTTTTGTGTTTATTTGGAGTTAGGAATTATTGCTGTGTTTAAAAACACAATCTAAACGATCATTTAATTACTTGTAATGCCCAAATCGAAAATGTAAAAAAAAAATATTATTTTCCCATAAATAATTAAAAATGCATCGAACCTTAAAAATCGAAATATCTCAAAAACGGCTAACTATAACGAAAACTCACAGGAGAGCTTTTTTATGTTGAAAAGCGCGAAGAATCAGTTTTTTTATTCAAAAATCAAAAAATTGCACTAAGAAAAAATAGTAGAGAGCGCCCTCTAGATGCTACAGTAAAACTATGCCCATGGTTCGTTTTGTCGTACCAAAAAACCCTTGTATACCAATTTTCACTGTTATACATCAAATATTGTTCGAAATATTTAAAAAAACTATTGAAAGTAAATTTAAACACTCTGTATTTCGGAAGCCACGCATTTTTCGACCCATGTTTATATAGACTTTATGCATTAATTTTAAAAGTTCTATCGAATCTTAAAGTTATGCATCAATAAACTGAAACACCCTGTATAATTAAAATGCAATAAACACCTCCCCTCAGGTATTTTTTCCTGTGACGCACTGCTGCTTCATTCGCACTCTACCCTGTATATCATAGTGACGTCATAATTTCGTCATTTTTAGGGCACTACTGACGTCCGCGACCAACAAAAATGACGTAGGAATGTCGTGATTATGACGGTCTTGTCATACCCAATTGACATCATTATATGACGTCGTCATAGTATGTCGTATAAAAAGCCAATTACAAATTCGATATGACGTCTGTATAACGTGGATATAACGTCTATCTCAGAGCGATATGACGTCACTGTGATGTCGATATGACGAACAGCCGCACGCGTGGTAGAAAGTCGCCGAAACTCATATTCGACTTCCGCAATTTTTTAGTGGCATTTGTACAAAACGTAACGAAGTGGTTAATAAAGAACTAAAAAACACCGCTTGATCTCAAACACGTTCCACTCCTCCGATGGTTCAGAATCTGTTCGTAGCAATTCCACCCAAGACTTATTAACTATGTGGCTCTACTATAGTTCCTAATAAATTGTACCACAATGCACGTTAAAGAAAAAGAAGCCATCGTGATGTCTGGCAAACCCATAGATTAATAAAAGAAAATGGCCGAACCATTGCCAAACATCACAACGCATGGAGCTTGGACATCGGTCGTGCTCACCGCCAGGCACAATCGTGCTTCTTTGCTGACGATCGACTGAATGATATACCGTTCCAAAATTTTAATTTTTACCGCGCTTGATTACAAATGACTGTCCTAAAAAAAATACGACGAAATGACGTCTTTTTGTCGTCACAGAAATGGCGTCAAATAAGACGTCATTTTTCAGTCAATAACGTTTCCTGCCAAAAGTGGCCAAATAATGAGTCATTTTGGCGTCATCATGTTCACTGGGGGAGCCCAGCAGAATATTAATTTTCCACATTTTGTTCAACGGTTGAATTCTTCCGAAATTTTGTTTTCCTACCCAACCATAAGAGACATCCTTGTAATTACATTTTTACTGGGTGTTATTTCTTCTATGTCACTTAGTATACAAAAGTTCATTCATCAGCTTACAATGCTACGCTATTTTTTCCAGATCGGCTACGAAAGAAAGATGATTCCGGCAAAGTGGGCAGTCCTAATACTGGAAAACAGCCGTCAGTTAGCGATGTGGTGAAGGTACTTCAAGAGATATCCAAAGAGGTCATCACTACAGCCGAGAATGTTTCTAAGAGCAAAACAAAGAACGCTAGACCAACTGATGTTACTGACAATATCGTTGGAAGCCAGGTGAGATAACTTATACGAGGGTGGTCCCAGAAGTACCCGACCCAACGAAGAAAACACAAAAACTTTGTAAAAAGATGTATTTATTTTTCAAGATAATCTCCTTTGAGCTCTATACACTTTTCTCAGCGATGTTCAATAAGTTCGATACTCTTTTTATAATAAGAACTGTCTTGCTCCTCAAAATAGCCATTAACTGCCGACATCACTTCTTCATCGTTGGAAAAACTTTGACCACTGAGCCATTTTTTCAAATTTGGAAACAGAAAATAATCCGAGGGGACTAAATCTGGTGAATAGGGTGCATGAGGTAGCAATTCAAACTTTCATTCGTTAATTTTGGCCATTGCAATAACGGATTTGTGGGTTGGTGCATTGTCTTGATGAAACAGTACTTTATTCTTAACCAAATGCGGCCGTTTTCGCTTGATTTCATCGCTCAAACGTTGCAATAAGTTCGCATAATACTCGCTGTTGATAGTTTTACCGTTTTCAAGATATTCAATGAAAAGTATCCCACGTATCCCAAAAAACCGAAGCCATAACCTTGCCTGTAGATGAAACGGTCTTCGCCTTCTTTGGAGCCGGTTGTCCCTTTTGAGTCCATTGTTTTGACGGTCCTTATGTCTCGGGAGTGAAGTGATGGACCCATGTTTCATCCATGGTTATGAAACGACGCAAAAATTCTGCTTTGTTGCTGTGAAACTTCGCTAAACACTCAATTGAAACAACTTCGATTATGAGCAATCGGGACACCCATCTTGCACATAGCTTTCTCATGTCCAAATTTTCAGAGATAATATGCGATGAACCGTACTTTTTGAAATGCCTACTATGTCTGCTAGCTCGCGCACTTTTAGTTGACGATCATTCTGTCGCTTTGTGAATTTTCTTCACCATTTCTGGAATCGTCACCTCATTTGATCGACCACTGCGATGCTGGTCTTGGCAGCTCATACGGCCTCGTTTAAACTCTGCTACCCAATATTTTACTGTTGTAAACGAAGCAGCAGACTCACCCAGAGTAGAATCTAGTTCAGCTTTTATATTGGTTGGGCTGAGGCCTTTGAAATAAAAGTATTGTACTACATAACGATGACCAATTTTCTCCATTTTCACAAATTCACTGAAAGCGTTCAGTAATGATGGCTGCCAAACAAATACTAAACAACGTCTCCAAACTTGACACATATGCTTTATAGGTTGCATACTTTCTAATACAATGATATTTTTAAAACAACTATCGCCATGTCTAGGTTAGGCCGGGTACTTCTGGGACCACCCTCGCACTCTTAGGTAGCGCAAAATCGTCGATTTTTCAAGAATTACCTTCCATTTTTCCAAGAATTAGTAGGAAATTTGATATAAAACGATTCATTACATAGTAATGGAACAAAATGATCAAACTTTGTTTTTAGCTCGATCTGCACATCACCGCTATAGTAGTCACCTATATGCTTGTAATGCTTGTACAGGCTAATAGAGACAACGCCATCTATGAGACAGTAATTTTTTCAAAGTATATACAGTAAATGGAGAAACAGCTGGGTCAAGATAGAATATGTTAATCAAAGCTATTATCGAACGTATATGTAAGAGTTTACAAGACATTTTTTAGAAATAGTTATACTAAGTGACATATAAATCCGAACACCCAGTTTAAATGGTTTTATTTTAATAAAAGTTGGTGAATGTATTTATCTTACTGTAAATAACAAGTGAAAAAATTTTCAGCCTTATCAGTTGGACATTCCGGTTTTAATACTTCTTTTTTTTAATTTACTAACGCTCTAAAAATGAATATTTCAACCGCAGTAAAGAATCAACGTTGGTGGATTTTGGTTCTTGACATCCTTTACGATAACTTAGTGAGTTTGATAGGGGCCGTATAGTGGAACTTCGGGAAGCTGGACTTTCTTTTCGGGTAATTGCAGTTAGAGTGCAAAGAAGTGTAGACACTGTGGTTAGGTGTTGTCAGGCATGGCTTCGAGAAGGCCGTACGCAAAGAGCAAGGGGCACTGGACGCCGCCGTAGAACAACAGACCGTAAAGATCGCCGCCTAAGATTATTGGCCTTAAGGGACCGTTTCTCCACTACCAGGTCCATTGCAAATGAATGGTTTGCAGAACACGGAAGACCTATTGGCATGCGAAGTGTTTACCGACGAATGAGAAGTTTTGACTTGTTTTCATACCGGCCACACTGGGTCCTCCCTTTAACTGGAGAACACCGACGTAATCGCCTTGAGTGGTGCAGACAACGGTCACTCTGGGATCAGGAATGGAACAGTATTGTCTTTAGTGACGAGTCTCGATTTTGTTTAGGCATGCACGATGGTCGTGCCAGGGTTAGAAGGCGACGTGGTGAAAGGAGGAATCCACAGTTTTTTGTTGAAAGACATGTTCATCACACTTTTGGAGTTATGGTTTGGGGTGCTATAGCTTATGGTTCCAGGTCACCTTTAATCTTCATCAGAGGTAACATGAACGCGCAGCGTTATATCCACGAAGTTCTAGAACCCCATCTTTTACACTATCTTGATACCCTGGCAGATCCAACTTTCCAACAAGATAATGCCCGACCACATGTTGCAAGAGTCACAATAGACTTCTTTCAACATAATGATGTCACATTGTTACCATGGCCACCAAGATCTCCCGACTTATCCCCAATTGAGCACATGTGGGATATGATGGGTAGGAGATTGCTCAATTTGCAACGTCCTCCTCAGACTCTAGAAGCACTTCGAGAGGAGTTGGTGGTTGCCTGGAATGAGATACCACAGGAGGACATTGACCACCTGATCAGAAGCATGCCTAGGCGCGTTGGAGAATGCGTAGCACATCAGGGTGCATCCACACATTATTAAAGGTCAAAGGGCTTTAAAGCAGTGCAATCATTTTGAAATTTTTATCATTTACTCATTATGCTTCATTAAGTACTTACACAAAATTTTATTAAAATAAAACCATTTAAACTGGGTGTTCGGATTTATATGTCACTTAGTATATTTACAACTTACGCACTTAAGGAAGTATTCAGTGCATCTCATCGCAAGCTCCACATTATCTGAGACACGGTCGAACAGGTTCGCAAACACACAAAGCCGCGGCTCTCACTGTGAACAAAATTAAATCTTGCAACTTTAGGTCCAACCAAAATTGATTAATTTTTCTACAATAAGCAACTTCTAAGTTAATATTAGGATGAATTTAGAATTCCTGAATACTATTAAACAATGTTAAAGCACCCCTCAAACTGATGCGAGTCCTCTTTGGTCTCCCTCCTTCCTGTCTTTCTGTCTTCTTCACTTCTTTCTTCCCGACTTCGCCTGGCAACCAGCAAGCAGAGTTATTACGTAAAACACCTACAGAATGCCAAGAAAACCGACAAAATATCAACCTGCTGACTAGACACCTATGAAGGAATGATTAAGGATATGATGAACGACCATGTTGCAAGTCAGTTCGTCAGCATGCTTTGTTGGTTGTAGAATGGCGAGATAGTCTGTAGAGTATATCTCTGAGAAGATTGGTTGAGTATCAGAGTTGCAAGATCGCATCTGGTTGACTGTGTGGTGAATATGCGTATTTGTATAAAATTAGAGATTTTCAAAAAATTAGAGAAGCATTACGGAAAATCAGCACCACGCCCGCGTTGTGTGTAATTAAGCCACATCACAGAAAAATTAGGAAGGACGCATCACATTTTCGCAGTGCCTCACATCTAGGCGCTGACTTTTATTTTCTTGACATCGCAAAATAATTTTTTATAAAATTTCATAAATATTCATCACTGTAGTTGCAATATACTAACCAAGGATACTCTTTTTTCTCTCCCATGTGAAGCAAACATCTGGAATAAGTGTATTTGAGACAAGAAATCAACGGAATTCTCATCAGCACAGATTATTAGCACACAAATCACCACTAAGCACCAATACACTGCCGTTTCGCCCGTTTTCTTCCAGCTATAGTATAGAACTTACAGCTTAGACCTCCAATACGATTGCTCAGTCGTCATGACGTTTAGGCAACACGTACAGCTACATAACGGGTGCACAACAAGTACACAAGTTTACATGTTTTGAGAAAACCTACATAATGTCACAAAAAACCTATACAATGTCAAAAAACATATCCAACCTACATAACATCACTTTTCAAGATACGTTATACTCCTGCAGACCTGACAGGCCTACAGACTTACGATATTTTAAACAAGAGCAAAGGTCATTGAAGGCATATTTCATGCGCAGTGAAAATTCTTAGAGATACAAATTTTGCTTTTTTTAATATCTGTATGTTATGTAAACAAACAGCTCTGGCAAATAATGCCAGACACATTATCTGAAAAATTTAAATTAGCTCCCGTATGTTCGATTGTCATGTTAATTGATAGTATCTCCCTTTATAATCGATTTTCAATAATCGAAAAGAAAAAAAAAAGCATTTTTTATTAGAACAGATTTAAAAATTTTCGAAAAATAGTTTAATTGCAAATAAAACAGGACGTTTTGATACAATACGTGTTTAAATTGGCGGACTGGGGAGCTGACAAAGTTGAGCGTATTTGTACCTTGATTTTCACGTATCGCTCAGCAGCTAATAATTGAAACCTTGTAGCATATCAACCTTCTTCTTTTAAAGGACTCTATCCGAATATGCAAGAAAATATAAATATACTAAGTGACATATAAATCCGAACACCCAGTTTAAATGGTTTTATTTTAATAAAATTTTGTATAAGTACTTAATGAAGCATAATAAGTAAATGATAAAAATTTCAAAATGATTGCACTGCTTTAAAGCCCTTTGACCTTTAATAATGTGTGGATGCACCCTGATGTGCTACGCATTCTCCAACGCGCCTGGGCATGCTTCTGATCAGGTGGTCAATGTCCTCCTGTGGTATCTCATTCCAGGCAACCACCAACTCCTCTCGAAGTGCTTCTAGAGTCTGAGGAGGACATTGCAAATTGAACAATCTCCTACCCATCATATCCCACACGTGCTCAATTGGGGATAAGTCGGGAGATCTTGGTGGCCATGGTAACAATGTGACATCATTATGTTGAAAGAAGTCTATTGTGACTCTTGCAACATGTGGTCGGGCATTATCTTGTTGGAAAGTTGGATCTGCCAGGGTGTCAAGATAGGGTAAAAGATGGGGTTCTAGAACTTCGTGGATATAACGCTGCGCGTTCATGTTACCTCTGATAAAGATTAAAGGTGACCTGGAACCATAAGCTATAGCACCCCAAACCATAACTACAACAGTGTGATGAACATGTCTTTCAACAAAAAACTGTGGATTCCTCCTTTCACCACGTCGCCTTCTAACCCTGGCACGACCATCGTGCATACCTAAACAAAATCGAGACTCGTCACTAAAGACAATACTGTTCCATTCCTGATCCCAGAGTGACCGTTGTCTGCACCACTCAAGACGATTACGTCGGTGTTCTCGAGTTAAAGGGAGGACCCAGTGTGGCCGGTATGAAAACAAGCCAAAACTTCTCATTCGTCGGTAAACACTTCGCATGCCAATAGGTCTTCCGTGTTCTGCAAACCATTCATTTGCAATGGACCTGGTAGTGGAGAAGCGGTCCCTTAAGGCCAATAATCTTAGGCGGCGATCTTCACGGTCTGTTGTTCTACGGCGGCGTCCATTGCCCCTTGCTCTTTGCGTACGGCCTTCTCGAAGCCCTGCCTGACAACACCTAACCACAGTGTCTACACTTCTTTGCACTCTAACTGCAATTGCCCGAAAAGAAAGTCCAGCTTCCCGAAGTCCCACTATACGGCCCCTATCAAACTCACTAAGTTGACGAAATCGTACAGGTCTCCGTACTCTAGGCATCGTAACCGATCGTAAAGGATGTCAAGAACCAAAATCCGCCAACGTTGATTCTTTACTGCGGCTGAAATATTCATTTTTAGAGCGTTAGTGAATTAAAAAAAACAGTATTAAAACCGGAATCTCCAACTGATAAGGCTGAAAATTTTTTCACTTGTTATTTACAGTAAGATAAATACATTCACCAACTTTTATTAAAATAAAACCATTTAAACTGGGTGTTCGGATTTATATGTCACTTAGTATATTTCGATAAGAAATAATAGGTACTTTGATACCTGACTAGATTTTGGGCCACCCACACATCAAACTGAGAATAATTTTGTCTCAAGTTTCTGACCGGGAACAATGCTCTTTCCACGTATTATTCTTGGCAGCAAGCATGCAGTTTTTCGAATAATTGAAAAATGGCGTCAAGTAGGTTGACCCAACACTTCCCACGCAACGCCGTCATAATTATGTTCAGCACAACTTAAGTCCTATCAAAATAAGACAAAGCCGTGGATTTTGATTACATGATAGTATCTCTGCTTTTGTTCGTTATCCCAGAGAACAAGACAAGAGTATGCTGATGAGTTGCAAAAAAGCACGAACCAGCTATCGATGGTCGAACGAACTAAAGCAATCGCCTCCCCCCAATACCTGATGACATGACACATCAGACGCGGTAGCTCGACATAACGCCAGTCATGGAAGGACACTTATGAAGGCCAGCACGCCGGCCGGTGAAAACAGAGAGCAGACGCACGGACGCGTGTCAAATAATGTGTGTGGAATACATCTAGTAGGTGCACAGAATTACCGGGATTAGAAATGTATTAATATACTCCGACACATCCTCCCCCATTCCCAAATGTTTTACCCCTATTTTTTTTCAAAAATGATCAGCTTCCTCTGAAACGTCAAAAAAAAGTTTGAGCAATTTTTATTTTTTCGTTTTTGGCATTTTCTCCGCCGCCACTGAACCGATTTTCAAAAACTACAAAGCATTTTCGTCCTTGGCATAGTAGCCACCTTGTATGAAAATTTCATCCAAATCCGAGATCTTTCCAAGTTATAGTTGTGCCAAGGCTTTGCGGATCACAGACCAACAGACAGACAGAAGACAGGTGTAAGGGTCATAATATAACATCCAAAAAACACATCTCATTTTCAAATTCTTTCGTGAATATCTTCACCGGTAGGCGTGGGAAGTAAAATGGTGATTTCCAAAAAACTCGATAATTTTTTTATTCTAAAATCGTTTTTTCACAAACTGGCTTATGCTGAAAAGAAAAAATCGATTTTTAAGTTTTAGATTTTTCTGGCATTCGCCAGATTTAAATCGAACCTAGCCCGTCAAGATGTATTTCACACCTGACATCATTATTTGATTATTTCAGATTCTAGAAAACAGCTGGGAAAACCTACAACCGTACGTTCCAAGAGACAGTCTCCCATTCACGAGACCAAAGTTCACTTTGCCTCACCAACAACTTCTTGTGGGTCTGACGCCAAGCACTACTATCAGCACTCCTTTACAGACATCTAGTGAGGTATCTCTGCTGCAAAGGATTCAAGATCGCTTCTCAACCTTCTTTACCACCCCATCTTCTGTCAAGGCTATGGATCTGAGAATGGATCAAACTGGAAGTTCTGAGCCTTCGTCGACATTGTACCCACCTTTGGTGTTTGGCAAGAACAAAAAAGTACAACAACCATTCAAGGTAGCACCACCGAAACCTGTTCCAGAAATTTTGCCTGTGAAGACTGAAACCACCACAAGTGAAGGTTTGGTCCAACTATCACTTGATAGCTCTGAACCTTCTGTACCTTCTTCGACAATGTATCCTCCCATAGTCTTTGGCAAGAGCAAAAAAGTAGAACAAAAGTTCACTATCTTAACTCCAAAACCTGATCCAGCAGCCTTACCCGTGACAAATGAAAACGCCACAACAACCACAAGTGAAGGTTTGGTCCAACTATCACTTAATAGCTCTGAACCTTCTGTACCTTCTTCGACAATGTATCCTCCCATAGTCTTTGGCAAGAGCAAAAAAGTAGAACAAAAGTTCACCATCTTAACTCCAAAACCTGATCCAGCAGCCTTACCTGTGATAAATGAAAACGCCACAACAACCCAAAGTGATGGTTTGGTCCAATTACCTCTTCATAGGTCTGAACCGTCTATACCTTCTTCGACGATGTATCCTCCCGTGGTATTTGGCAAGAGCAAAAAAGTAGAACAAAAGTTCACTATCGTAACTCCAAAACCTGATCCAGCAGCCTTACCTGTGATAAATGAAAACGCCACAACAACCACAAGTGAAGGTTTGGTCCAACTATCACTTAATAGCTCTGAACCTTCTGTACCTTCTTCGACAATGTATCCTCCCATAGTCTTTGGCAAGAGCAAAAAAGTAGAACAAAAGTTCACTATCTTAACTCCAAAACCTGATCCAGCAGCCTTACCTGTGATAAATGAAAACGCCACAACAACCACAAGTGAAGGTTTGGTCCAACTATCACTTAATAGCTCAGAACCTTCTGTACCTTCTTCGACAATGTATCCTCCCATAGTACTTGGCAAGAGCAAAAAAGTAGAACAAAAGTTCACTATCTTAACTCCAAAACCTGATCCAGCAGCCTTACCTGTTAAAAATGAAAACGCCACAACAACCCCAAGTGATGGTTTGGTCCAATTACCTCTTCATAGTTCTGAACCGTCTATACCTTCTTCGACGATGTATCCTCCCGTGGTATTTGGTAAGAGCAAAAAAGTAGAACAAAAGTTCACTATCGTAACTCCAAAACCTGATCCAGCAGCCTTACCTGTGATAAATGAAAACGCCACAACAACCACAAGTGAAGGTTTGGTCCAACTATCACTTAATAGCTCAGAACCTTCTGTACCTTCTTCGACAATGTATCCTCCCATAGTATTTGGCAAGAGCAAAAAAGTAGAACAAAAGTTCACTATCTTAACTCCAAAACCTGATCCAGCAGCCTTACCTGTTAAAAATGAAAACGCCACAACAACCCCAAGTGATGGTTTGGTCCAATTACCTCTTGATAGCACTGAAACTTCTATACCTTCTTCGACGATGTATCCTCCTTTAATCTTTGGCAAGAACAAAAAAGTACAACAAAAGTCCACTGTATTGACGCCGAAGCCCGATCCAGCAACTTTGCCTGTGATAAGTGAAAGCACCACAAGCACATCAAGTGAAGGTTTGGTGCAACTACCTTCAGGATTTGCAAGTGTAGACGATGATCGACTTGGAGCCGCGAAACCAATCCAGTTTGATATTGACAGGGAGCTACCAGTATCTATTAACAACATGATGACGTCAAGAGATCAAGTAGCGAGTCACCTTGGTGTTGATGAAGATATGGTGGAAGACGCTCCAACAATGTCTTTCTCCAGCAGTGACAGAGTGGAAAATATGCATCCCATCAAAGAACCAGAAGATGCGTCTTCGCCAACTCTGGCTTCAAGACATCAAACCAGCATCGCGATCTCTGGAGAAACGCCTAGAGATATCTACTTCGTCGGTACAGGTATGAAGCTTCCTCTACAGATGGTGAAGAAAGAAGGTGGTGAGGTCCACTTGTCCGTTGACATTGACAAGCTGTGTGCTTGTAAGAATAACTCCAACTGTACCAAAACCCAAACTGTAGAAAAAAGAGAGTTGAAAAAGGATCTGGTGGTTGGCGAGAGCTCCAGCAACGTTCTAGCTATCGATCGGCCTGTTGTTGATATGGAGAAGACGACTGATGATGGTTCTGTGAAGAAGAATACACCAACTCACCGAAGTTTGAGGGACGTGAAGGATAGATATACAGTAGAATGGGAGATCGAGGAACCTGAAGAAAGTCATAGTGGAGAGCATAGAATAGAGATTGAAATTGATGATCCTATCATAATACCCGTGAAATCATACGCTCATACTGAAGAGACCATCAACACCGAAGTTTCAAATGAGTTTCCATCGAACACTGGAAACGTAGACTTAAAGCATACCCAGCTAACAAAAAATATATCTAGTGAAAAACTGGATACTGAAAGAAATGTTATAAAAAAGATACATGACAAATTATCCAGTAGCCACTCTATGGAACCAGATGTGGGGTTATCAAAAATGGCTCAGGATCACAGCCGTATGAGCAAAAATGAAAACCAAGCAATGAAATTTTCACATTCTGATGTTCTACTCATCAAAAATGCCGATGAAAATGACCAAAAGGACACAAAGAGTGATCAAAGTCTTCAATATAATAACCCATTCAGAAGACTCAATCTTCCAGATGTTATCAGTAGAAGCCCTCTAGATACCATAGAAACTACCGAGAAACCTACGTATCTCTCCAACCTTCTGAAGAAACTGCGTTCCAGAATGCCTGCTCAAGAACTAAGAACCACAAACACCAATCTGAAGTCACCATTTGCATCGAATTTTTTCACTAACAGAATAAAGAAACAAGAGGCAGAGGTTTCTCGAGAACAACAGACCACAAAACTTTCTGGTGTACTAAAAGATCGTAACTTGGATAGATATAATAATTTGGCATTGAGGCACAGGTTATTTCCAACACTTGGGAGGCAGAGAGAACCGATAGCTAGGTTAGAAAAGAATGCTGATGAGGAAAGTGAAGATGAGAATGAGGAAAAACAAGAGACTGGAATTGTGAAGAATTTGTTTGGTTGGATTAAAAATTTAAATAAGCAGAAAATATAGAATATTACGAGTTTTGTTTTTACAAATTTATATTTTTTATAAAATAAAAGTGAAAATATTTACAAGGTGTTTTTTTTTTTATTTGGAAGTAGATTGTGCGCACAATAATTAAGAGATGGCCCAGTTACAGTACAGCATATCTTAACGTTAAAGTTATTTAAAAACTATTTAGTCCTTGATTTGTGACTCAAATCTCAAACAAAGATAACATTTACGTAAGTGGTAAAGTAGATGATCATATTTAACATTTTACGTATTATGCCGTATTTGCCAAACCTCATTAATAAATATGCGTAAATTCTAACGGTCAGAATCGTTTCCTAAGCTCAATATCTTTCGATAGCTATATAATTTTTACTCGCTTACGTATAGTAGTAATAGTCGAGGACAGAGCCGGAAAACAAAGTGACTTTTTCACGCATCGAAAAGTAGCATATAGTCGAGCAATTTTAAAAAATCGAAACATTCGAAAGGAAAGGGATAAAGAAAATCGTCAGGTTCGTAGCCCCTTTATCTTCGGAGGAGATCGAAATTGAACGTCGAACAGCACGAAAATCTACCGTTTTTTCGACTTTACCAGCCGTTTTCGATCGCGTTTCTTCCTCCTACCGCGACAGCTCTCGCTCGTCCGTAAAGCGCCGAGTTTCTAGTTTCCGAAACGGTATCGCTTTCGGTCGCAACGTTTCGCGAACCCGGAAAAAAACCGGAAAAATCGGAAAGTAGCGCGTAGTCAAGGAATTTAAAAAAATCGAAACGTTCGAACGAAAAGGGATAAAGAAAAAACGACGCTATCGTTAAGTTCGATGTCCGGGCTTTCTCACGCAAAAATCGTCAGGTTCGTAGCTCCTTTATCTTCGGAGGAAATCGAAGTTGAACGTCGAACAGCACGAAAATCTACCGTTTTTTTCGACTTTACCGGCCGTTTTCGACCGCGTTTCTTCCTCTCACCTCAACCATTCTCTCTCGCCCGTAAAGCGCCGAGTTTCTAGTTTCCGAAACGGTACCGCTTTCCTTCCGAACGTTTCGTTAACCGGGAAAAAAACCGGAAAAACCGCGTCCACGTCAACCGCTCCGATCCGCTCTCGAAATCTAAGTCCTACCAAAAACAAATGATCACCTCTTAAAATAGTCGATATCAAAATTCTTAGGAGTCAGGAAAAAAGAAAATTGACATTAAAATATTAATACCGTTATTGATGTAAACCTTATTCTAGAACAATAAATGAAAATAAAAAAAGTATATACGAAATATCTTTTTCTGTATAGCGTATGTCCTAAAAGTTCATATCAGTTTCTCTGTTCGTAAAATCGCCGTCATGGGCTTCCCAGCCTCCATGATAAGCCTTCCTAGACAGTACGGCCCAAAAATCCTCTATTGGGCGAGCCTGCTGCAAGTTTAGAGGATTATCTTCATTAGCATGATGGTCGTGGACAAACAAGCAATTTGGAAAGCCAGTTATCAATATAGCTCTGACTATTCAAAGCTTCACCCCTCACTCTTCCCACAAAAGGTTGGGATGCAGCCCTGTTAGAACATGCGCACCAGACAATGATTTTATCTGCAAATTTCGCTTTATGTCTGTATCTAACATTGTAAGGGCATTCCCCTAACTTGTCCGTATAAAATCCGTTGTTTCCTTTCATTTCAAAATTACTCAAAGTGAAATACTTTTCATCAGATGAAATAGTGATTTTTCCATTGGCAAAATGTACCTGCCTCGATTGACGACAGTATTTTGGTATACGAAGGAGTCGCGCTTGAAAGTATTTGGGGCACTCTTTCGATATTTAAGAGCCGTTTTACACACAACAGAATTACTCCGAAAATTATGCCGAAAATTTTTGCTGTCGTATTACACGTAAAAGAATTCTTGTGAAAATTTTCATGGTAAAAATATAAAACCCGTTCCATAGAATATGCGCGAGAATCGGCGCAGAGGGTTATTTCCGTGCATATCATTATCAAATGTCAACGTCAATAACATAACCTCACTTAACATTTGTGGGTGTGGTCCTGTTCGAGTCGTACGAAGAAGCGTTTATTGTTATTGTTTATTCATAATGTCGTGGAATCGGGAAGAAGTTTCACTGTTGTTGGAGGAGTACCAAAAATGGCCAAACCTGTACAAGGTGAAGTCACTCAATTACAAAAACAGAAATTTGGAGCGTCAGGCGCTGGATGCGATAGTCCAAGCATTGAGAAGTTTCAAAGTCCCCTAAATCCATTTTTCAACCAAATTGAGTTACTGGTGCCATCTGATTGAGAAATATCTAAACAATGCTTTAGATACCAAATTACGTTCCAAAATCTGCTAAATGACCTTCAAAACCGATGTTTGTTTCTTGAGTTGGTTTCAAAATACCCTAAATCCATAAGTGAGTGAAGTCCAAACATCCCTAAATAGATTCAATAACAAAACCCACTAAATCCGTAACATTTGGATGTGCTGTATATACCTGAGAATCAAAATCCGCTAAATCCAACTATGTATTCTGCTTTGGCGCGCTTTCGCACGAATCACGTGTTAGACTTAACCTATTGTTGTTAGTGGCACTTCGAACTGCGATTAAACGTGTTTAATCTGTTTCGTTGAAGAACATTCAGGGTGGCGCATCGAAAACGAAACAGACGCATTTACTGGCAGCTCAGTTTTTGTTTGGAAAAACGCTCAGACCCGTCGATTTTGTTTTCAAGGGGGACACAAGCTTGGCAAAAAATCACGTTAACACGTGCAGCCCCCTGGACGGGGGTGACACCACCCCCAAAATCTTAAATGGAAAGGGGGTCGACTGATACCTTATGTTAAAGGTCTTTCAATTCCCTTTATAATCATATAAAATTAATATAGTTCAGTAGTTTTGAAGATTTATTGATTTAAAGGACTCTATCCGAATATGCAAGAAAATATAAATATACTAAGTGACATATAAATCCGAACACCCAGTTTAAATGGTTTTATTTTGATAAAATTTTGTATAAGTACTTAATGAAGCATAATAAGTAAATGATAAAAATTTCAAAATGATTGCACTGCTTTAAAGCCCTTTGACCTTTAATAATGTGTGGATGCACCCTGATGTGCTACGCATTCTCCAACGCGCCTAGGCATGCTTCTGATCAGGTGGTCAATGTCCTCCTGTGGTATCTCATTCCAGGCAATCACCAACTCCTCTCGAAGTGCTTCTAGAGTCTGAGGAGGACGTTGCAAATTGAGCAATCTCCTACCCATCATATCCCACACGTGCTCAATTGGGGATAAGTCGGGAGATCTTGGTGGCCATGGTAACAATGTGACATCATTATGTTGAAAGAAGTCTATTGTGACTCTTGCAACATGTGGTCGGGCATTATCTTGTTGGAAAGTTGGATCTGCCAGGGAGTCAAGATAGGGTAAAAGATGGCTTCTAGAACTTCGTGGATATAACGCAGCGCGTTCATGTTACCTCTGATGAAGATTAAAGGTGACCTGGAACCATAAGCTATAGCATCCCAAGCCATAACTCCAACAGTGTGATGAACATGTCTTTCAACAAAAAACTGTGGATTCCTCCTTTCACCACGTCGCCTTCTAACCCTGGCACAACCATCGTGTATGCGTAAACAAAATCGAGACTCGTCACTAAAGACAATACTGTTCCATTTCTGATCCCAGAGTGACCGTTGTCTGCACCACTCAAGGCGATTACGTCGGTATTCTCGAGTTAAAGGGAGGACCCAGTGTGGCCGGTATGAAAACAAGCCAAAACTTCTCATTCGTCGGTAAACCCTTCGCATGCCAATAGGTCTTCCGTGTTCTGCAAACCATTCATTTGCAATGGACCTGGTAGTGGAGAAACGGTCCCTCAAGGCCAATAATCTTAGGCGGCGATCTTCACGGTCTGTTGTTCTACGACGGCGTCCAGTGCCCCTTGCTCTTTGCGTACGGCCTTCTCGAAGCCATGCCTGACAACACCTAACCACAGTGTCTACACTTCTTTACACTCTAACTGCAATTGCCCGAAAAGAAAGTCCAGCTTCCCGAAGTCCCACTATACGGCCCCTATCAAACTCACTAAGTTGACGAAATCGTACAGGTCTCCGTACTCTGGGCATCGTAACCGATCGTAAAGGATGTCAAGAACCAAAATCCGCCAACGTTGATTCTTTACTGCGGCTGAAATATTCATTTTTAGAGGGTTAGTGAATTTAAAAAAAAGCAGTATAAAAACCGGAATGTCCAACTGATAAGGCTGAAAAATTTTTCACTTGGTATTTACAGTAACATAAATACATTCACCAACTTTTATTAAAATAAAACCATTTGAACTGGGTGTTCGGATTTATATGTCACTTAGTATATAAACAATGAACATTTTCTATTCAACACTTGCTTTTCCGACGAATGTTCCTGTCTCTTAAATGGCGTAGTAAATCGTCATAACTTCCGATATTGGTCCGATTCTAATCCCAGAATTTATCATGAGGTTCATACACAGCAGCCACAAAAATTAAATGTTTGGACTGGTATTTTTGGCCATCATTTAGTTGGTCCTTTTTTCTTACCTGGAAATTTGACCGGTGAAATGTATTTGGAATTACTGGAAGACGCCATAGATCCTGCATTAACAGCCATAATTGAAAATCAGAATGATCGGCGCTACATTGCGAATAGGTTGATGTTCCAACAGGATGGTGCCCCACCACATTACGCATTACGTGTTCGACAATATTTAGATCAGACGTTTCCAGATCGATGGATTGGTAGAAGAGGTGCCATTGAATGTCCCCAAAAGATCGCCAGATTTATCACCTTTGGATTTCTTTATGTGAGGTCATTTAAAAAGGAAAATCTATGCTACTCAGCCAACATCATTAGAAGACCTGCGACAAAGAATTGTGAATGAGTGCCTTCAACTTACTCCTCAAATATTGCAAAATGTGCGGCAACATTTTGAGCAAAATCTTTATTATTGCATGGAGAGTCATGATGGCCATTTTCAACATTTACTTGTCTAACGGGTCAGTTCATTCTTCATTTTTAAATTACTTTGCTGCCAAATGTATTGATCTCCACTAATGATGATGCATTAGTTTTACTTAAGCTTTAAATAAATAAATCTTCAAAACTACTGAACTGAAGTACATTAATTTTCTATCATTATAAAGGTAATCGAAAGACCTTTAAAATAAGGTATCACTCGACCCCCCTTTCCATTTAAGATTTTGGGGGTGGTGTTACCCCCCCTCAGGGGGCTGCACGTGTTAACGTGATTTTTTGCCAAACTTGTGTCCCCCTCGAAAACAAAATCGACGGGTCTGAGCGTTTTTCCAAAAAAAAACTGAGCTTCAAGCAGGCCACGTACCATGGCCACTACATACTATATCCGCAAAAAATCAAATTAAATTATTCCTGTTTGCAAGGCATCATTCCTAGGTGTTTTAAACTTAAAACGGTACCGAGTGGAAGGTGAGCCCTTCGATTTTTCCATAAGGATCAGCTACCTAGAGAGAAACGTGGGGGCGATCATCGTTCCCTCAAGTCTCAAGATGTTAGGGAATCTGTAATCTAGTTTATAAGATCTCTCGCAGTACTAGAGAAACACTATTGCAGAGGAAGATCTCAAAGGCAGTACGTTTCCAGTGATTTATCCATTAAAAAATTGTGGACATTTTACAATACTAAATTAAATATCCAGGCCATCGATGCAAGGAGTCGTATTTCCGATTTATATTCAGCATAGGATTTAATGCCCTACAGGTGGATGTCTGTTCACAGTGTTTAGAATATACAGAAAAAATAAAGCAAGACAAAATATTGCAAATAAAACGGTGGAACTTACACAATATAGATTACACAAAATGAAGGCAAAATCTTTTTTTGATATATTGAAGAAAGAAGAGGCTCATATAATTACCCTTTCATACGACTGTGAAAAAAAAATTGGTTTTGCCGAAAATTCCACATCAGATCACCTATTATAAAAGACAGCTTTACTTATATAACTTCTCAATCGTGATCGTATCGTCTAAAGCAAATTTGACCAAACAGAATGTCTTCATGCATACTTGGTTGGAATCTGAAGCAACAAAGGGTTCTAACGAAATTGCATCAGCAGTTTACAATACTTTAAATAATTTGGAAATTCCAGATGAATTTTCAGAAATAAAACTTGTTTCTGACGGATGTACCGATCAAAATAAGAACAGTACTATGATAAATTGAATGTGTGCCAAGTGGCTTGCAGATGACGCACCTAAACATGTCCAGAATGTCAACTTGATTTTTCCAGTATCCGGTGATTTGTTCCTTCCGCCAGATAGAGTTTTTGCACAGATAGAAAAACATGTTAAGAAGAAAGATACAATCGTCGATGTTAATGACTACTATATGATATTTGAAAAGTTTGGAAGAGTGAAAAAGTTAGGATTCGATTGGAAAGTCTTAAACTGGCGCAAGGCTATTAACGAGATTATAAAACCAACATCTCTACATCTCAAAATCAATTCATGCAAGAGAATCATGATTAGCAAAAGCAAGAAAGGTACAGTCCTCATCCGTAGAGAACATAATTATTTCTCAGACATAAACAACGCATCGGGGATTTGTAAAAGAGGCAAGCAAGTTTCTAATATCAGCCCAGAAGAAATAGAATTAAATAAAGTAGAGTTGCGAAGAAGATAACAGATGTGGATCAACTACTGAACACATTTTGGAACCGACTGGCAAAAGATTGCTGCAAAGGAAAATCTCATATATTGCTAGGACGTTGTCGCAAAATTTGGGAAGGTGTTGGAAGAAGGTGATAGCGATAACGAAGAAAATGAAGGAGTGGAAGAGCTATGTGAAATAAGTGACGTCCAGGAAGCTGATATCATTTTATATTTTTAGGGTTATAATAAGTAAAATAAATGGAGAACTATACTTTAGTCTTATCATTTGCATTCAACCTAATGTCGTCAGACTGAAAACTTTGCAAGCGCATGTAAACTTTGAAGCAAAAACCTGTAAATCCGATATCATTTTCAAAAACAGCTAAATCCAGAGTTTTTTAGTTTCTAAAGCAACTATTGAAGCAAGATTTTCCCGCGAAATCAGTCTGAAACATTATTATCTATCAGCTTCTGTATATAAAAACTGTAGTAAACGTTTCTGTGGCTAGTAGCAAACTTTTGCGGTTTCTGAAAATGTCCTAAAGTGGATTTAGTGGTTTTTGGAAATAGTCGACTCAACCGACAGTAAAGTAAGTGAACAATCTTCTGGTTCCAAAGGCAACTTGATATTATTTTGTTTGTTACAATTAAAGCCAATGAATTTTGTGCCAATACTTGTAGGACCTACGGTACTTACAGATGTGAATGTCTACCCAGTCTGATAGCATTACGTCTGAACCACCATATGAAGAGCACCAAGTCGGCAACAACGCGGTCTTCCATCGCCTCGTGGCGCTATGACCACGGACGCCGCTTAGCAACATGGGTGCAACTATGGAAATTTTATATGGACGAACAAAAAAATAATGTTGACGATTTACTTAAAGAATTCCTTAATCAATGCCATAACTCTGTAATATGTAAAATAAGAAGGTTCGTTTCAGGAGTTAGGAAATAATGAATAAATACAATTATCATTGAAATATCATTTATTAATTCTAAAACATATTGAAAGCTTCTATTCACAATAATTACATGCACAATAGCGTCGGACATCTGACAATACCTGCTATCCTGACATTTTTACCCAATTTGAGGTATATGCACATTTTTCTTTGTCTACCTACAGCGCACATTGTGATAGATTCCGCTAACTGCAGAAAAATTTAGTTTTTGAATTATTCAGCCAAAACAATACCTACCGCTGGCAATGAGCGGCAATTCCAGCTATCTGACAATTACGCGTGCTATTTTTCTTAACTCTGCAACCAAACACGACGTTGTGATTTCTCAGAAATATCTCACCAAAGGACAAACCCAAATGGAATGTGACTCTGTACACAGTTGCATTTAAAGAAAACTAGGAAATAGAGTTATTGAATTACCAAATGACTATGTTAAGGCATCAAAAGAAGCTAGGGCAAAACCAGAGCCATATGAGGTGATCAAATTGAGTTACGACTTCTTCAAGGACTACTCTCGAACAAAGGTGCAGCAATATTCAACAATTAGACCAGGCAGGGACAATGTAGTCACGGACATCAAAGTACTATGTTATAATCCCGATGGAAAAATTGAAGTGAAACTAGACTTCAGTGTAAAGCCTCAGGAGTTGCCTATGAGACCAAAACAGCTCCCTGTCATTTCAGATTTTAAGTGTTATATCTAAGGACTGTTACATGTTTTACGACAATTCGCCTTATGTCAAGGAAAGAAGATGAACGTTCATTTAAGGTGTAACTGAGAATACATGCTATTATCTTTGTGATTTGTAAAAGCATTAATCTTTTAATTTGATATAATGAATAACAGTTTTTCTAACACGAATCTCACTAAATCCATCAATGCATCATAGTTCATAAATCTGCTAACTGCAAAGAAAGTTAGCAGAAGTATCAGCGATCTGCACTAATTTTGTCAATTAGAGCTTCATTTGCATAAAAACGCATTAAATATGTGTTAAACGTCAATCATTTTTTGTGACCAAAGTTGTAGAGCCTTAAGGCCGGTAGTATAAAATTGATAAGGTTTTTTTTTGTCCCCTGTAAAATTACGGTTTCTGCATATAGCAGGTATTGTCAGATGTCCGACGATATATTGAATAACATTATATGTTACATATAACATTTCAAATAGTTATATCAAAAAATACCGCAAGAGGATTCCAAAGAAAAATAAAGTTAAAGTTGTTTAGAATAAATAAAATTATTATGACTTATCTACTACTATCATCATGTATCATCTCAGGATGTTCTATAGAAACATGCTTAGACATTTTTGACTTAAATTTACTTTGATATGTACATCCGGGACATCGAAGTAATTTATATGTCATTAAATGTATAGCTCTAGAATGGTTTTTGTGTAGGTGCTGATCAAGATGTATTTTATTTGTGAAATGTGCATCACATTTTGCACAAGAGAATAAACTGACAAGTTTTGTCTGAGAATGTTCCAACACATGAACATCAAATGTTTTCTTGTCTGTAGTTTTAAAGTCGCAATTTGGACAATTCAGTGTTTCACTAGGTTCAGACTCATCAAGAGTTTCAGATATTTGATCATCTAAATCTGGTGGGGTGATGTTGATATTGCTATATTTGATCTCAGAATGCTTTATCATATGTCTAGCTAAATCACTTTTGAATATTGTTTTAAACTCACATTCTGGGCACCCATGAATTTTACTTAAAACACGAGATGTAAATTTGGGATGTTTCCTTATTACATGATGACGCAGCCATGTTCTACTCTTAAATTTTTTATCGCAAGTTGTGCAAACAAATGCAGAAGAATCGTCAGATACCCTTCCCGAATATTTTATGATAACGTGGGCTTTAGGCTCGTATTCGCCAGCAGAATGGTCATTGAGTATATGTTGACGTAATAATACTGTACTACTAAACTTTTCATTGCAATCTGTACAAATAAATATTCGAGAATCTTTAGAAATGTTTGGCTGATGTTTCAACATGTGACTCTCAAATTCTGATTTAAAAACAGTTTTGTGACCGCACTGCTTACAATGATATACTTTACTTTGAATTGTGTCAACAAAAATTGGATGTCTAATAAGTATGTGGTCATCTAAAGCCAACCTGCTTTTAGGTGTTGCTCTACAATGTGGGCAAGGATGTGGCTTACTGGGTGGCTGACTATGCATCAGCATATGTTTCTCATAGTCACGCTTATAGGTAGTTTGATATTTACAATTTGTGCAAAAAAATACTTTACTAGTAACTATTGAAATTTTATCTGGATGGTTTTTCAATATATGATCATCAAAACCAATTGTGTATTTATAGTGTCTCTTACATTCTTTACAGAAATTGTGATGAGAATATGACGAATTTGAGACAGAAATTGGTGTGTGTTTTTCTTTGATTGCTTCGAGTTCTTTCATGTGAGCTGTTAGTTTATTCTTTTTATTGGCAAGATAGCAGGTAAAGCAACTTGCATTTTCATCCTCATTTTCAACATGAGAACAGTGAGTTTTAGGTACCAGATGGTTTCCTTCCTGCTTTGAAGTTTCCTCACTGAAATAAGATATATTACAATACAATACAGATAGGGACAATGGCAGATTTAAGAATCTGTCTAAGAATGAGCACAGTGGTGGTTGCAGTATTCATGTTTGTGGCAATGTTCATCTCAGGGGAAGAGAGGGTTGGAGGGAGAGGAGATGACAACTGCATCATTAGCTCTTGAGCAGCATTTCTAAGAGCAATTGAAGCATGAAGGATGGGATAAGTTGGGGGGCACATCTCATCATTCAGGTCTAGCAAGGTAATTTTTACTCCAAGAAACACCAATATATATACGATTTTGTTAATAATAATAATATTTTACTACCAATCAAAAAATCTCTTTACCTAGAAAATTTAGCAGATGATGCATACGAATGTTCTTGGGTAGCAGCTCCCATACCTGGTTGTTCTTTAAGGATTCCAACATTTATTGGGCCTTCTTGATTTTCTGTAACCTCACCTATTCCTGCTATGCTTTCGGGCTCGACATATTCTAGCAGAACCTCGGTAAATTCATTTTCCTGTTGCGCCAGTTCAACTTCACTTGCTTCAATCCTACACGAGTTTTAAAGACTTCATTACTTAAAACATCAAACGCGTATATGAAAATCTTATTTCTCAAAATGTTTAGAATAACAACATAATTCTTATAAACACATTAGCATATGTAGGTATACAGTTTGACCAATGGTATGGTCAACTTTGTTAATTTGTTTAGGACCCTTATAATTTATAAGTGTGTCCTCAATTTGCTTACCCATGATTTTCAATAATATCATCTGTAATCTGATTTATTGGTTCTTCTTGATCATCCATTTTTTATAATATCAAAATCAACAGACGCATCAGTCTTCAAAAAGTTTGGTTATGTTATAAAAACAAAAAATAGTGAGCACAAAAGTGGTTCTAAGTTCTAAGTCTTATGCACGTCTTATGTGTTTTGTGGTTCTAAGTTAATTGAATTAATTTGTATTATATGTCATTTTCCTTCCTACAGCTGACAATGACCCTTCTGCATCTCCAGAGTTGCCACGTGTAAAAAATCCCAGGGATGCACCCAAACATATTTTGAACCTATAAAACCTCAAAAAAAAAATTTCATCTTGCAGACTACGTAGTTTTTAGGGTGCAAACAGTCATTCCACGTTTGCTCACTAGGATAGTTGCGAGCGTCCATCTATGGAGGAATGACTCAACTAAACTACATGCATTATCAGTTGCATATATTTTGTGAAGCCGAGTGGTCTGTAGTTTTTATCTTTGAGAAGAAGTTGGTTGAATCGCAAGACCGCATCTGGATGATTATGTGTATTGGTCTGCATGTGTATAAAATCAGTGATTTTTGCTGTGTGAGATCATTACTGAATATGCTGATAATGAAGTATATCTATTAGCTGTGCTCGACGGGTTATTTATATGTTGTCCTTTTTGGAGATAGGTTATGCTCAAAGTTGTAAATTAAGAAAAACTTTCAGGAGAATTATGGGAAATCACCACCACGCCCATGTTGTGTGTAATTACCGTTAGTATGTATATAACTTGTAATTCGACAGTGTACAGTGAATAGAACAATTTTCCCCCTGAAGGGAAGAAAATTGATATTTCGGGTCTTGCCATAGGCCTGACCGTTGAGATTACGTTCCCTATCTACAGCTCCGGAGTCAGTATGTGTGCGTCTCTAGTCCCCTTTACCTTCGTCCTCCTCCCCTTTCTGTACGCCCATGCTCCTTGGAGCGATGCGCGCGCTGGCTAGTGGCGAGCGATTCCCCGCTCGCCCTTCAGTACTCTTGCGCCGGCAAGGCGTTACCTAGGTCAGGCCTATGGCAAGACCCGAAATATCAATTTTCTTCCCTTCAGGGGGAAAATTGTTCTATTTCGGCTCTGTGCCTACGGCCTGACCGTTGAGAAGTGTTTACAATCTGCCGGCGCGCCACGGTGTTAGAAAGCGTACTGTGACATGGTTATAGTATGATAACTCTAACAGTTCATAAAAAGAAAAGTAACAGTCATTCTTGGCTCACAGCCATGATAATACTTATATAGGGACAAATTTATCCGAAATAAGTCTTCTGTTGCTGTTGTCAGGTACCAAATCCTTATCGATATTTTTATAGTAGTGTTTGAAGAAATTGCTTGATCCCTGCCAATTTCCTTTCTGCAAAACCTCATCCAATGGCATGTTATCATTGAAGCGGGATGTTGCCACTGCCGAGCGGGTACTGCCGGCTCCTCCTTCTATACCTGCCGATTTCAACGCTGTGCGGACCCATCCTGCTATCACTGACCGAGATGCCGGTCCTATCTTCCCACGAGTTGTGACGAATAGTTGAGGAATCGGTCGACAGTGGAGGTTCCTTCTCTTTTCTGATATTTCTAGATATATGGTTGTCCAGTGTACTAGATCCCAGATGCATTCTCGATTTTTGAGGAGTTTCCAGCCTGACTGGACGTAGTTATGCTTGTCTGTCTTAGATCCATGTTGTGGCCAGAAAATTATGTATTCTTCGGTTTGTTCAAAGAAACCAGAATCTATTCGAAGGAGTGTCAAGTCATGGACTCTCCTTCCCGATGATAGCAGCAAAAGCAGCGATAGATGCCGGGCCACTTGAAAGATACTATTCGTATCTGGATGGTTATCATTAATCCAAGATAGAAGTTTATCGATGTTCCAAATCTTTGGCCTAGTTGCTGGAGGATTTGCATTTGCAATACCTCTAATTACCTGTTTCACTGTTGGGCTACTGGAAACTCCTTCACTATGTAGTGGATTGGAGAATGTCGCAATGGTGGATTTATGTAATAGGATCGTTCTAAGCGCCAATTTTCTTGTGTTGTGTAGGAAGCAGAGGTATTGAGCCACCTGCGTGGGGTTTGGATTTTTAACTGAAACTCTTCTTTTCTTCTCCCACGATTGCCAACTTTTCCATGCAACGGCATACGTTTTGAGAGTTGACTTGCGCCAGGATGTTTCTAAGATTCTCCTTTCATCCTTTGACCAGTGATTCGCTATATCGGACCACCCCGTATCTTCCATGCCTCCAGGTGTAAATCCATTACCTTTGGAGGAGGCTGGTTGGTTTGAAGATCTTCCAGGTGAGCCTTCAGATTCCGAATGGTGAACGGGTGGTCGATGGCACGTCTCTTCAGCAGGGGCCGCCAGAACACCCTTTCCCACCTGGGGACTATCATTATGAAAACTCCCTGACAATAGTTGAGGTGTTGGAGAACTCTTGGTATTAGGGGTGGAGGAGGGAATATCCACGCTAGCTTGTACTCCCACGTTCTTGTAAATGCGTTGACGAATTCTGCCTCCTTGCATGGGAATTGCGTTACAAATCTTGTAACGACGGCTGATTCTGGAGTCGCAAATAGGTCGATGCAAGGGGTTCCCCACTTTTCGAAGATCCTCTTCTGAGCTATCCTTGATAAGTGCCAGTCTGGCAGATCCTTTCCTCTGGATAGGTGGTCGGTCACAATATTGTAGTTTCCTGGAATATGTTCTATTCTCAGAGACATACTGTATTGATGTGCCAGCTCCAGGATCTTCCTGGTCAATGCCAAAAGCGTGACCGACTTGGTTCCTCCTTGATTTCTCAAGTAGGAAACCACCGTCCTGTTGTCCGTCTGAATTAACAGTGTTTTGTTTGCCAATCGATCTAGGTGGTTTCTTAGCGCTAAGTAGATCACGAACATTTCTTTTTTTTTTTTTTTTTTTTTGTTGATATGCCACTTTTCCTGCTGCTCTGTCCAGTTTCCTTTCCTCAAAGTGTCTCCTACTTGGGCTCCCCAGCCCGTGTTTGAGGCATCGGTTATTATATGAACTTCCGGTTCTTTCATGCAGATTATGGATGACCCTTTTAAGTTTTTCACCCACCATCTTAGCTCTCGCAATACGTCCAGGTCTATATTGAACAGTTTCTTTGGTTGGTTTTCTGACATCCGATTGACTGCTCTTTGTATCTTTCTGCAATGTAGTCGACCCAATGGGATAACAAACGAGGCAAATTCCATTCTCCCTAGCAGTGCCTTTACCTGCTTCCAGCTCCAAGTCTTGCTCTTGATTCCAGCTTGGATTGATGTTTGCAGACGGTGGATTTTGTCCTCCGGTAAACTCTTTTGATTTCTTATGGTGTTCCACATAATACCTAGATATGCCAATTTCTGTGTAGGTCTTATTTCGGACTTCTCCAGGTTGATGCAGAAACCCAGCTTTATGAGAGTATCTATCAGGGTGGATACCTCTCGCTTTAGTTCTTCTGGATTCTGGTTTGCGATCAAAAAATCGTCCAAATAGACCATTACTCGAATGTTTTGTTTCCTCAAGTAGCTCGCCACCCAGTTCGTAACTTTTGCAAACACCTGTGGAGCGGAGCTTAGGCCAAATGGTAGTGCTGTCATAGCGTAGATGTTTTGCCGGTAATAAAGTCCCAGATAACGCCAATGCTTTTGCTTTATTGGCAAATGGAAATATGCTTGAGAAAGGTCGACTTTTACCATATAATCTCTTTCCTGGAGAAATAATGGCAGTTTGCGATGGTTCATAAGGCGGAACTTCTTGGGCGTGATGAAGCTGTTCAATCTTTTTAGATTGAACACTGGTCTCCACAAGCCCCCCGATTTCGGCGTCAAAAACATCTTTGATAAGAAACCTGTTTTTGTTTGCAGTTTTACTACCTACCACCTTTTGATTTATGAGGTTTTGTATTTCTCGATCCATTTGTGTGGATGCTGGTGTCTCGAATTTGTTTAGTATCGGTTGGGATAGTACTGTTATTGGTGGCTTTATTGAGAAAGGGATCACGTAGCCTTTCAGGATACTGAGAATCGATTGTGAGGCTCCCATACTTTTCCAAGCAGAGACATATTTGGCGAGTTGTCCTGCCTGAAAACTGTCAAAAACTCCGCCTTTTATCTAAAGGTGGTTGCTCCTTACGAGCTAGCTTGGTATGACTTTTCGCCCCCGGCTTACGCGAATGCTTAAACTCTGCCTTCTTCATTTTTTTAAATGAACCTTGACGCAGATACTTTTCATGAGAAGTTCCTTGAGGCACCTTCTGTCTCAGTGCGACTTTTCCCAAATTACTCTGCCAGCGGACAGGAGCAATTTTCGTCACTCCATGCATTTTAACCACATCTTTCAGCTGCTCTTCATCCCACAAGTGCGTACCTGACGGAGGAATCTCATTGACGATGGACCTATAGTAACTACTTTTAGGCTCGTATAGTTTCCTGCGACTTTCGATGATTTCCGCCCTTTTTCCGCAAACGAACTGCAGCAGGTCGTCCGACATGGTCTTGTATTCACTGTTAGCAGCAAAAACTTTTTTTTTTTTTTCAAAGTGTCTGCCGCTTCCGGGTGTTTGTTCCCCGCCTCCTTCAGAGCCTCATGTATGATTCTCCGTTGCTTCAGTAGACCGTGTGAGATAGTCCCGAAGGCCAGGTCACTTTTGGATAACATATCTGTCATTGGGCTTGCATGTCCATTGTTATACAAGGATGAGTTAACCTTCAGAGTACTGAAGACTGGTGATGCGTGGAGTTTTTTCTGAGCGTCCACGTAACGAATCTTGTTCCATGTCTCTTCCCCGAAACGCTGGCATTTCATGCCCTGTGTCTCGATTACTGGGTCCGCCCTAGGGACTGTAGGCTCGATTTCCCTAGTGACAGGGGAAAACGTGTCGCAGTCGTTTACGCTGCCACATGTGCCAATACTGTCGGCGTCATACAGCTCTTCACCTGTAGGAGTTGGAGCTTGCCACGTCGAATTCATGACGCTGCCATCGTTCTCTTTATTTCCTGAGACCAAGTGGTAAAGATTCTCGACCATGCTTTCCACGCGGCGTAGCCTTGTCTCATTGACATCCTCCTCCGAGCTCGAAGACAATACTCGCCGCCTCCTCTTCATTGGTTTCTCGGTTCTGACCGGGTACTCGTCGTCTGAGCTGGACGATTGACACCGTCTCCTTTTACTTCGGGACGTATAATTAGACTCCCCGTCCGTTGAAAGGGCCTCCGACGTCAGCTCTCTGGAACGCATAGTATGTTTAAGTGGTTCCACCGCCTTATTAAAGAGCTCCGCTTGAGCCATAGATCCTCGTAACTGACACGCTACCTGCCGTGGGCTCATGATCAATGCTCTACAGAGGTTCCAGTCGAGAAGCCTCAATTTTATATTTCGGTAGGTTTTCTCTCCCACCGATGTTGCTTCTGGGTAGAATGCTTTCACCAGTTCCAATGTGGGGAGGGCGAAGCGAATTTTGTTCACCCAGAGTAACAAAATTGGTTGCCATCGCCATCTGGAAGCAGATGTGCTATAATTAGTTAGTCGGTCGGGCCAAAAATGCAGCCGGTCGGGCCGAAATCTGCAGCCGTTCGGGCCAAATTCTGCAGCCGGTCGGGCCAAAATTTGCAGCCGGTCGGACCGAACGTAGCGGCCGGTCGGGCCAAAATTCGCAGCCGGTCGGGCCGAATTTAGCGGCCGGTCGGGCCGAAGTCTGCAGCCGGTCGGGCCGAAGTCTGCAGCCGGTCGGGCCGAAGTCTGCAGCTGGTCGGGCCGACTTGACGGGCCGGTCGGGCCGAAACATTGTGTAGATGGATCCGGCTGCAGGACTCCCTTCAATTTTCCTATGAATGGGCATTGTGCGCTTGCACACAAGTGCCCATATTATGCTCTAGCGAATTTGCCCAAGATGCATTAGAAGGGAGTCTCACGTCTGGACCGAGTGATCCGAGACCGTGACAATTTTATATCAAATGGTAGCCATCTACACTAAATTGTCCAACTAAGGTTTTTGTCTCTTACCTTTGCATTTATACTATTATTCTCTCGAACGTTACACAACGTTTAACTCGCGATGTTACACATACGCACACGCACACACCCTATCCGTGCGATAGATAAAAGCGTACTGAAGGGCGAGCGGGGAATCGCTCGCCACTAGCCAGCGCGCGCATCGCTCCAAGGAGCATGGGCGTACAGAAAGGGGAGGAGGACGAAGGTAAAGGGGACTAGAGACGCACACATACTGACTCCGGAGCTGTAGATAGGGAACGTAATCTCAACGGTCAGGCCGTAGGCACAGAGCCGAAATATAATTATTTCTTATCTCTCTCATTTTTGAAATCCATCAAATTTGCATATGTAATTTCCAGAATCGATAAGAAAATGTGGATGCGCAACCAATTTCTAGCTTTGAATCTCAAGTGTATTTAAGACTAGAATCCAATGGAATTATCATGAACACATTAAAACATTTATTTGCCCATTCTATGTTGTTATTGTTCTTAAAAAATGGAGTAAATAAATGTCTACTACTACATATTATTAACACACAAATCCTCACTATGCTGCTATGCCATCTCTGAAGCAGATTTTACATCACATCAGAGAAAAACTTTGATAACTGAAGCCTCATGCCGTTTAGGCAACACGTACAACTACAAAGCGATTTCACAACGTGTCCTTCAGCTAGTGCTAAGTTGACATCTTGTAGAAAAACCTACATAATGTCACACAAAAACAATACAATGTCAGAAAAAATCGGCATAATGTCACTTTTCAAGATACGTAATACCCTTGCGGTTTCAAAGCAAAAGTGGAGTAGTTAACAAATAACTATACTTGAATCCATTTCAAGTGAGACCAGACACAACAACCAGCACGCGTCGCTGGCATGATGGTCGTAGACACAAGAACCGAGCAGGGTCGGACTCAAAACTATGGAAATATTAAGGTGATATTTCAGAACTAAATATTTGGAAAGAGACATCAGTAAATAATAAAACAACACTACTGTCACAGAGTCAATAGAGGTGTTTGAAAGTTAAGGGGGGCACAAAAAGTAATTATACATATGTGTTTGACAACATCAATATTTTTCACTTTCACTAGAAGAGCTGTCATCATAGATGTTGATAATTAGCGGTTCAATATGCCTTTCAATTCTGTTGTCTAGCTCCCACATTGCAACCTCCACTTTCTCCTGAGCATGCTTCACACATTTTAACCATTTTTCTGGTGTGATTCTCTGCAACGCAAGGTTGAACAGCTCCTTCATGTCGGAAAACTTGAATGTTGTGTTGTGTTCAGCAACAAAATTCTTTATATCTGCCCATATGAGCTCAATGGGGTTGAGCTCACAGTGGTAAGGAGGCAAACGAAGTAGCATTTTATTGTGCGCTTTTACCATCTCGTCCACTATATATTTATCATATTTTGCTCTGTGTTGTTTCACAAGATCTAGAAGTTGTAATTTCAACATAAACGTATCAAAAGGTATATTTTTTGCACGTAGCCAGTCCTGTATCTCTGATTTCTTAAAAGATGAATTTGGAATTTTTTCTAATTTCCGAGAATGATACGGAGCATTATCCAGGACCACCACAGAATTGTCTTTAAGACGTGGTAAAATGCCTAAAAACCAGTTTTCGAATGCTTCACCATTCATCTCTTCGTGATAGTCAGTGGTTTCCTTCACGAAGCCATCTACACTCCCGATGTGGCAAATAATGAGCCTTTTTCCTTTGCCTATAAAGATAAAACTTGTTAAATACGGATGTACATTATATGTCTTTCACAAGAGTACAAGGCCACGGAGAAAGGACACATTTCTGTATTTTATATACGATGCTATATTGTTTCTCATGATAGCGGGATGCATGCGGTGAGATATATCGGACACTTCAACCAATGCATCATTTAATCTGTTGATGAATCTGGTTAGCTTAAAAAACAAAAAGAAACAGGCAACATCAATTAAACTAAAAAATTATCAAGTGTGACAAACTTATCGAAAAATTTACAAATCAACGCAATGTCTGACGTTGTTAATTAACGTGTTACATTCCGTGACGGACAAGGTATGTTGTCTCTGCAACACTCGCATTGCTGTAAAAAATCTTGTCATCGATACCATAAGAATTCCAACGTAGAATACATTGATTTCCAGAGTGAACATCCCCTCGTTTTTTCTAGATATCTGATAACGTGTAATTTAAATCACTTTGGCTATGAAAAATTATCTAATAACTATTGTTGGATTTTCTAAAATGGAATGTCTGCATTACCTGTAGGGTTTTTAAGCCCAGTTGAAAGCCCATCTAAAAACGCTCTTCTTGCTGACGTTACTGTTTGGTCCACCCAAACTTTTGATTTTGTATGGCCAGCATTTATCCACGTCTTGTCCAGGAAGTAAATTCTACGGTTTTGGCTCCTGTATGTTTTTATTTTAGTCAAATACTCTCTCCTCCATAGTATAATTTCATATCTATCCATCAATGAACTGTTTCGGCCTCTCTTCTACCAATTGAAGTTGAGTTCCTTTAATAGCCTGTAGAACGTCGTTTTACTAAAATTCGGCAAATCTGAGTCTTCATTCACTACTTTCAAAATCTTATCAATTGTAGGAATTTCATTCTGGAAAAAGAATTCATGAACCTTCCTTCTGATCGCATGTCTGTCAGCATCATCTATTTCTTTAATTTGGCTTTTACGGTTCTGATTCGTTTTAGGTTCAGCAAATGCATTCCGTAATTTATATTCTTTGAGTACTCTAAATACCGATGCACGAGAAACTCCAACTTTATTCGCCACCCTCTGCACAACATCGTTGACGCTGAGCTCAGGTTTTTCCTCCGTTTCACATTTGTAAACATTTAAAATAATTTCTTTCACTTCGATGCTCAAATGGTTTTGTCTTGATCGTTTCCTGGGTGGACTCAATGTAAATAGTTCTCCCTTCATCAGCTGTGTCGGTAGAAGACATGGTCAAAAAACACCAGATATAACAGAACTTATAACAGCGATGCACTCGACGCCACGCCACGGCCTGATTACAACTCTGGTTTTTGTAGACATCAACGCGGCGCAACGGCAGGTTTTGTATTGCTACAGTCTAACTAGGTCTTCGAAACTGCATGTTTTCCAAATTCATGGAGTTTTATATTGGAGCCACTTCAGGACATTGTATTTAACAAAAGCATCAATATGAGGGGCGGAAAGTTAAAAAAAAGAAAAATAAAAGCTACGAAATGAAACTATTAGTTGAAAAAGCAAGCGCTTCAAACCGTAAAATGCCTGAACTATAATGAGACCCTCTGCGGGAACATCGATCACGCGCTGATCACGCTTCGAGTTTGCGATGTTGTGGTCTCACTTGGGCTGAATTTTAGTATAGGATATATCAGAACATTGAAAACTTGGCGAAAATTATGTTTAATATGTCTGTGAAACGACAAGACGATGAAAGACATAAAATAAAAAAATCTCTGTTTTCGAGAATTTTTTCAAGTTTGGCATCCTTGCAGATGAACTTCGATGAGCTGCAGGCGAAAAAATGGCGAATGGTAATAAATATCTTCTTTAATGCGAGTTTGTTTCTGTATGCCCTTCTTATTCTGTGTATACCTGTCAAAAATGTAATTTATAATCAAATTCAAGCGGATAACCAAATGGAAATGGTATTTAACATTTTGGGTTGGTATTTACCAATCCGTTCAAGCGAGTGTAGTTATCAGTTTGGTTATAAGATCCGTGACGTCACGAATCAGCTGTTATATGTCATAGTTATCACCGCAAAATTGTGGTATTTACCCAACTCAAGAGTAGTTTTATATTTCTGGTTATTATTTGAAATGTGACAAGTTAGAATTTTGCCGGGTATTGGATATTATTATTGTACTTCAGCTTCATTTTTGAGAAAAATGATACAGGCTGACTTCACTTTTACCATAAAGTGGAGCACCTTATTAGTTATACTCATTACGGTTGTTGGGGACACTTTAAATGTAGTTCCTATGCTTAACAAAGTATCCTGTGTAGCCATATACCACAAGAATATTAAAATATGGCCATATAAACTCACTAGATGATATCCATCTGTATACGGTTTTGCTAATTTCTTTTTTCATCATTTCTGCTGAATCAATAAATGTTTTCTTTGACATGCGGAAAAATTTAGAGAATTGAAAGTTATCATAGCTACAAAGCCATGGTTCCATCATTAAAAAAAAAATCTGAAAAAACATTTCTCCCATGAATATTATGAAAGGTTTGTTATTTAAACTTTCCATATACAGTTGTAGACGAAAAAGCACCGATTATTAAGTGATAATAAAAATAATCAGAGATTATATACGCGCTTTTCTAAAATAAACAACTTGCAACAAAACCGCGGTTAAAACCAACGCGTTCAAGCGATTCGTGTAACTGACGTCATCAACCCGTGTGTCATCTTGAACCATATTATAACCGCGGCACATAACACAGAAATTTTGGTTATTCGCTTGGATTTGATTTATAACTGTCTTTGTGACGTTTGGATTTGGACTGTGTTTTCATGAGGTTTTCGTCCCTGTATATCATATAATATTGTGGTTTTCATTTTCCCCAAGTTGATATCTAAAGATTTTTCAGTGAATTTTCAACAACTTTCATAACATGTCCGAATATGATAATGTCAGAATCGGAAAGCTGGTACTCAAAGGAGAAAAACATAAGTAAATGGAATTAAAATCAAACCATACTCGCAGAATGACAATTTTTAAAATATTTTAGGGCAAAGAAACGTAAACATAAGAGCAAAAAGCCAGAGGAAAAGGTCCAAGAAGACCCAGACACCTTGAAACATGGAAACTGGTGGAGAATCTCAAAAGTAGAGGAACTAACAGGCCCTGTAGCTATTGAGTTTGGAAAACACACCTATGTAAAGGCATTAGACAATGGGGCATTTATGCTAGGAGCCCCACACAATGAAGGTGAAGGGCCATCACCAGAAGAAATACTCACAGCCATCTCTATAAACGAGAGAAAAGTCGCATTTAAGTCAGGGTACAATAAATACTTGAGAGTTGAGAAAAATGGAGCAGTTACTGGTCGATCAGATGCTATTGGGGCTATGGAACAATGGGAGGCTGTCTTTGAGGTGAGTTGGATAAGAAATCATGCAGTTCTTACATATTAGTTATTGAGGATCATTTTCAATAAAATGATTTGAGTCATTATTTGAAGAATTTAAGGTCAAAATCATCAATAACAATATTGTGTTTTCTGATAGGAAGGTAAGCTAGCTCTACTTGGTTACAATGATTGTTTCTTGAGTGTGGATCCTGAAGATGATTCTGTAGTTGCAACTGCCAAAAGAGCTGGATCTGGTCAATTCGTACAAATAAGATCACAATCTGTTAAAGAAGAGAACCCACTCAAAGATGTACCTACTGAAGAACAGGGCAAAGTAACAGATATTGAACTCAATTATGTGTAAGTATTGACATAATAAGATATACAAGGTTAGGGTGAAAGGTTTTCAGATGAAAGTCTCAGGGTGTTATTATCATTGAAATCACACATTTCAAATTTGAGCGCAAGTGCATTGTCCTAACGGACAATGATCTTTTTCTTCCTCAAGCCAGGTGTCTTCTCACAAATTTTAACATCCAGTTGATCAAAGAAACATTGCATTGTTTGTCGCCAAAATTGCGTAATTTTAGGGCATAGGTACATCTACCTTCATAAGGCTTGTGCTACTATTACAACTATACACCACAATTATCTGCAAACACTGAAAATACGCATTTAGTGACAGGGCTGTCAAAAATTGACTTATATCAAATGCACTTTGACCTTCTCTATAAACTATAAGAATAAGGAGACAAAAAAATTCTTAACATGGGAACTTATTTCTGGACCATCCTTCATATATTGCACTGTTCTTCTCATTGCTTGTATTATTACTTTTGCTTGTTCTGTGATTTGTAGAAAAAAGTATCAGAAATTCCAAGACAAGAGGATCAAACTTTGCCAAGATGGCACTCAAGTCCTGAAGAAGGCCAAAGATGAGGGATACTTGCATGAAACATTGCTGGACAGAAGGAGTAAAATGAAGGCAGACAGATATTGTAAATAAAACGATGTATATTTTAAATGTAACTTTATTTTTACTTTAATAAAAATGGTGTTCGACACAAATCATACAAAATAATTTTATTCCACGATTGATTACAAGATGCGCGTTGATATAATTTATTTTTCGCAATTGAACTTAGAATTAAATTATGTCCTACATCAGTTCTGTGTGTTACATTGTGACAGAAGAGCTAAAAAATTTAAGACAGCATTGTTAAAAAAATGTTGACAACTTTTAAGAAAGTGTTATTCTCAAAGCAAATAAAATTTTGTGTGAACAAAACGTATTTGATACACTTTCTTGCAAATCATAATAAAATAATTTCCCCACTGAACACGTCCCGAAAGGAAACAATCAAGGTGTTTATTTTGTGTTATTGATTCTCAACTTATATCATTTTTTGCTCTTTCAGCTTTCAACCACTCTACAAATTCATCTAGCATTACTGGCCCTGAAAAGAAAAGTGGGATTTTAAAGTATAAATAAGGGACATTGTGTATTCGTCACGTTTTTAACAAATTCTATGAAAGATAGTGTCACCTTCAGCAAAGCACTGATCGCACTGTTAAGGCCAAGCATGATCAATCTGTTTGGCTTGATACTAGTTTTTTCATATGCGGCGCGACCGATTTTGGATTGATTGAAAATTCGGCAACTCTGTACAACCAGTATTTGATTATGGTTGCGTCATATTTCGCGTAAAGCAAACGTGAATAAAAAAAATACACTGCAAAAAGTATCTGGAATACAAGATACTTATTTCATAAGTATTTCAGATACAAAATGGTGAAATACTCAATGAATTCGAATGAAGTAGGCGTCAGGCCTATATGTTGCATTGTTTGTCGCGAAAATTGCATAGTTTTAGGCCCGTATCGTCAGTCGGCCCTACAATTGTAGGGCGCGTTTATGGCCTCCTTGATTGTCATACTCCTTTCTCTCCTTCAAAAATTTCTAGATTACACTTGTCCCGTGTCAGCGCCAGCGCTCTCCTATTGTGAAGATATGTTTTCTTTTTAAATTGTAGGAAATTTCAGGCTGATAAAACATGATATAACTCAAAAGTAAGCACAATTTGATGCAAATAGATGTTTGTGACATAACCTCAAAATAGAGCGCTGACACGGAGAAGTAGAAAAGTATGACAATCAAGGAGGCCATAAAGGCGCCCTACAATTGTAGGGATGACTGACGATACGGGCCTTAGTGCATACTTTTAACTCATTGGACTACCAAAGTGACAGCATTGTATCAACACAATAATAATTACCGGTGAAAAGATCTACCTTCATTAAGCTTATGCTGCTCTTTGCAAATTGTGTAAAAAGGTACCAATTCTACAACATTTTGTAACTCATTTTTCTTCAATGAGGTCTTATTATCATACCCCGAAAAGAGCAGAGGTGCTCCACAAAGGCAGAATTTTTTGAACAGATGTTATATTTGAAAAATATATTTTTTTGTATGATAAACATTTAGACTCTTTAAGCTGGAATTTTTATTATTGCAGTGCTTTAAGTCAAAGGTGCTGCTAGTAGACCCTGTTTGTTTTCGCTACTTGCAATAGTGGAATCAGCCACTTTTAAGCTCTTCTTTATTTTATATTACATTTTGTCTGATGACTCTTATTTTTGTTCATGTGATCGATTAATTTTGCTTTTCAGTTAGGATAAGTTCTTTTACATATTCTTGGCCCTAGACAAAATTTTCAAGGGCGCATTATGTGTAAGAATGTATTGGTAAATGAAAGTTGTCTAAATACAGGATAAAAATACAATTTGATAAAGTATCTTAAATATAAGATGAAAATACGTATTTTGTACCTATATTCCAGATATTTGTATTTTAAATAAGTCACATCTCTAAGCATTAGCGTATTTGTTGTCCATAAAAACCGCAGCGCATTTAGTATTTCTATTAAAGCTTAGACATTAGGTGCTACTTACAGGCGCCATCAACATCATAATTTGATAAGTCGTTGTAGATTGTTCTAGAAAATTCTAGAATGTTACACCACTGATCTTTATTGATAACTTTGTACTTTGACTGATCAAGAAACTGGCTGAACTGTCTAAGGAGGGGCCAGTGTTCTCCAAGTAACAGCAAAAGCATAGCCTCAGCAGTTTCCATATCCATGCTTCTTTGGTCCTTATCCTAAAAAAATAATCTAGTTTCATTGAAGTTCAGTCACACTGGATACTTTAATGCAAACACTGGAACCAATTGTCTAATCATATTAGATGAAAATAATTTGTTCAAGAGGATATTTGAAGAATCATGGACGCATAAAATGGGTACACCAATTTTTGTGGAAAAACTTTTAATTTGACAACAAAGAATGAGAAAACGTTTTTTGGGATTTAATCGAAAAAGTTGCGAGGAACGAAAAAACTCTTCAAATAAGATTTTTAGGTATTTATGAGACCCACAGAATGAGGTCACACGTAAAAAGATCCGACTAATAGTAAAAAAGTTTTGGCCGAAAACCGAGGCAAGATGCAGGTTTTAGCACTAGTTAAATAACGACAACAAAATTGGAGTCGATTGTTCAAGTGGTGTTTGAGAATTTCTAATTGTTCATCACCTTCGTTTTTCGCATAAAAATAACAATTATCTTTCAGAATGGTTTATGATTCATATCGGCAAGGTAAACTCGTGTATTTCGCTATAAAATGCATTTTGAATGAACCCTGTATATTGGTCAGTAAACTATACTACAACTATTTAAAACTGTAATGACTCATACACGTGATCAGAGCTCGATCCCGGCTTCCTTCCTGTACAGCCGTATAGAGTACGACATATGTCGTTTCTGTGGCTTTGCGGTGGTCAACAGCACAGACAGAAATGGAAATAATGGCTGATTGTTCTCCGCCGGTAGAACCAATGAAATCAAAGACGCGCCTCGACCGGCAGACTCATAGGCGTTGGCAACGCATTGGAACGTGTTTCGTTGAGCGATCGCATATTGTGTGTTTTTATAAGAATTGTTGTGTGATTGTTATTGTTGTGGTTTCTGTGGTTACTGTTTTGGTTATACTTAACCATGAAGAGTACAAATGGCACGAGTGGAAGTACTGAAAGCCAGGGAACAAGTAGACGGCTTCGTAAAGCACTGAAAAGGGACGCGAAAGAAATCGTGCTCAACGTGTTCAATTATCTGAACAGAACTATGTCGCAGGTAGATGCACTCGCGCGTTGTGAAAGTATGACAGGCGTTCCAGAGTGGACCATTCGCAGGGTGGTGCATGAAAAGAAGAAAACTGGAGCTACTACTGATCCAAAGTTTAATTTGAAGGGACGAAAGGCCGTTAAATTGGATGACGATAGCAAAATGGCGTTAAGGCGAACCGTACATTCATTCTTCTTTAGGAATGAGATACCAACACTCAAGGCTGTACATGCAGCGATCAAGGAAAATGAAATTATACCCCAAATGAGCGTCGAGGTAATATAGGAATATAGGCGACAAAGCAGAAAAATCTATTATTTGGACGAGACATGGGTAAATGCAGGTCACACAGTTAAAAAAACCTGGATAGACAAAAACGTAGTGAGTAACGAACAAGCAAGCATTGACGGTTTGTCAACAGGTCTTCGTGGACCGTCAGGGAAAGGTCAAAGATTGATCGTAACTCATATTGGTAGCGATAGTGGCTTTTTAGAAGAGTGTGACTTGATTTTCGTCTCTAAGAAAGAAGGTGATTACCATGACGAAATGAATGCCAGCTGCTTCGAGAGCTGGTTTCAAGGGGTGCTTCAGCGAGCTGAGCCCAACTCTGTGATCGTCATGGATAATGCTTCCTACCATAGTCGTCGAGCCGAACGTGTACCGACTATGGGATCTCGAAAAAGTGACATGCAGCAATGGTTGCGCGAAAAATGAATCCCGTTTGACGATTCATGTGTGAAAGCGGAATTGTATGAAAAAATTAAACAGCACAAACCTGCGAACATTAGTTACGTGACTGATGAGATGGCCCGTCAATGTGGTGTCACTGTGCTGCGGTTACCGCCCCACCACTGTGAACTGAACCCAATAGAGCTCATGTGGGCTCAAGGGAAGGGTTATATTGCGCGCCATAACACAACCTTCAAATTACCAGACGTTAAGGTTTTACTTGAGACTTCCATACAGCTAGTAACGCCCGAAGCTTGGCAGAATGATATCCGTCATGTTGCGAAGGAAGAAACAAAAATGTGGCAGCTTGACCACCACATCGACACCATCATAGAGCCAGTTATAGTCAATTTCAACGAGGAAAGCGATAGCGACAGTTTATTACTGTCAGATGTAAGTGGAAGCGACGATGAATAAAGGTAATTCCCAAATTTTTGACTTACAATATGTTTCAAACCACTCTTTATTAAGCATGTGACAAATCTAGTTCACCCATATTAAACATTCATACCCCGCCTATGAACAGCCGACTACTGGTAGTTAAGTGATGTTCACGTGAACATCGATAAGTCATTACAGTTTTAGATAATTATAGTATAGTAATGATGGTCGGAAGACAGGTGTTTTGGGATAAACAATTAAAAATCTTACTTGAAGAGTTTTTTGGATCCTGACAAAACTTTCGATTGAGTCCCTAAAAACACGTTTTCCCATTCTTTGTTGTCGAATAAAGTTTTCCCACAAAAATTGGTGTACCCATTTCATGCGTCCATGTTTTAAATACCCCCTTGGACAACTTGCATCAATAAAGCCAGACTTTACAATTATTACGGGGAAATTTGCTAATATGATGAAACTACAAGCCACAGAAACGGTTAGGGACCGTTCTCATTGAAGAAAACTGGCAAACCGACTCTGTACATGAGTAGAATAGTTTCAAAACAAAACTGCTTTAATAGAAACGGAATCGAAATTGTCGAGTTGAAATCGCGTTGCTTTTTGGTGAAAACAGTACCGTAACTACCGTACAATGGGGGTAATCTGAAAATCTAGAAGTAGATGGCGCTGCTTAGGCTGGGGGTCTTTTCTAAGGTTATAAATAAACAAAGATGTCAATTGATAATCAGCTGTTCACGTCAAAACGAAACGAAGTCGTGATAAATAAGTGTGTTAGCAGCACGGTTATTAAACTCGGACTGAGATCTTTGACAGTTCAGTTCTTTGACAGATTCTGGTGCGATAGATGGCGCTTTGCGCTATCTCATGAAATAAGTGTTGAGTTCGTTTTGTAACTGAAGTGAGAGAGTTAAACATACATGAGGCTATCAAATCCGACTGACTGTGAAAGAAAATTCATTACATTTAGTAAGGTGAGGTTAGTTTTTTGAGATTCTGTGTAAATCGGACGCGACATGTTCATCTTTTTCCCATCTACTGTGACCACCATATGCTGGACAAAGATATTGTGCTTACAATTTAAAGGAAAACTCAAAATTGCCACTTGAGAACGTAAAACTATATTTATACACGGTTTTCCATTACATATAAAATAAACATTGTTTATGTGACAGATCACAATAGCTTTATATGAATTATTAAACTAAAGAAAAACCAAAAATTCATGTAACCCAATATTTTATTAAATCAAAGATTGTCCTCAACATCAATACCTTCTGATGTGCCTCAAGGCTCTATATTAGGACCTATACTATTTTTAATTTATACTTTTGATTTAAACAAAACTATTAATAATTTCCTTATTCAATCATTTGCAGATGATGCTTAGTTAATGCATAGTTTTGATCCAAATGATACAATACACAATACATTTGATACAATATTCTTTTAATCACAATCTCAAATTCAGAAAAATCCGAAATATTATTGTTTTGTAATGAAAAAAGAAAAATGCTGCTTCATCTCAATTAAAGATTTCTATAAAGGATCGAGTTTGCCCAGTCTGCAAAAATACTTAGCGTAGTTTTTGACACTAAAATGAGCCAATCGATATTTACTGAATTTGAAACTTTGCAAAAAACTATGTGAGAATTTTGCTTTACAAAAAACATTATCCAAATTATTCAAAATAATTGTGTACGGTTAATTTTTGGATTACAAAAATTTTCCCATGTTTCAGCCAATTACCAAATATTGAAGTGGATGAAATTTGAGAATTTAGTAAACTATCACTATTTAATTTTCATACATAAATTGTTGCAAATGTCAAAGCTCTTATGCTGCAGAGGAAAAATTGTTTTCAGTAAGGATGTGCACACTAGACCCTTAAGACACAAATTTATAAGAGTTCCACCACACAAAACAACATTATTTTAACAAAGCTTTTCATATAATTTAGCTCTCAGGCCAAATTCAATACCTGAAGTGTATGTCATATTCTTTGTCTACATTCCACATCAAAATTAAACTGACTATAAATTCACTATCCACTTAATCTCGTCATTTCTATATTATATGATGTATTGTAATTCTTGATTTACACATTTTCTGATCTTGTTTTTGACTTTTTTTTTCTCAAGGTGGGGCATAAATTTCTGTATAATGTTACCAATTGCTAACTGATTGGTTATATGTAAGAGTAGCGAATGCTAAACTTCGCCACTCTAGTCTATTATTAATCTACTTATATTTAAAACCTAACAAACTAAAGTTAGACACATTTAACATGTGCTTTTTGATGTGCCTAATTTTGCTACTGAAAACATCTATATTGTAGCTTACAGAGGCATTGCCAGATCTAAGAATTCTAGTAACTGGTTCATTCATACCATAATTCATAGAATGATGTGGAATCATAGACAGTTCTGTATTGCGAGATCATATTTCATTAACATTAAGATTTATTGGTGCAAGCATCTCTGGGCAGTCTATGACACTATTAACTAATTTGAACATATATCAAAAATTTCCCTGTGGCGTTTCCAGGAGTCGATGTTCAACACACTTATTAGTTCTGAAGCATTCTGACTACAACCCATTTTGAGAGCTGCCTTGCTCAATATTCACCTTGCACTGCTTCAATGGAGTAAATGTCACCAATTAACATATATTCACAGGAAAAATATTATTTTTTTTGGTTGCTGTCTATAACTCACCCTAGCAAAGTCATATGCATATCTGTAGATAGCCTTGAACTGGTAAGGATCATTCAACAGACAGCGTAAGAAGTCCAATCTACACTGCAGTTTTTGTACAGAGTCACACTGCATCTCTCCTAGTCCTTTCAACCATTCATCTTTTGTGAAGAAGCCCATTTTGCGGGCTTGCATTTTATATGCTAACACTAACATTACCACATTTTCAGGTTCCACACCTACATGATTTGAAAAAACAAGTTTAGACTTTTTCATCTTTCAAACATTGAAGATCAGTATTCAAATACCCCTGTATATCTGTGATCCAGTCAAAAACTCATTTCCTGAGTTAGATACAATACATAAGAAGGTACAAGCGGCCCTCTCTCTACCTCTATTTTAGCCCAATGATACTTCACAATTTTTTGAGTGTCTCATTCGATTCAGCATCCAAAATTACCCAGATGCACCAAATTTCGCCTTATAAAGTCTTACATTTTTTAAAGGTATTTTGAGAGAAATTTTGTGTAGTTTCTAAATCCCACAGGTTTGATCCTGGAATCCATAGGAAATTCCAGCCATCCAATTTTATATTTCAAATTCAAGGCCACACATTACAATCTTTGGATGGCCACACTGGAAATCACAGCCCAAAATTGCCTAGTACCAAGTTTTAGACATACCTATATCTTCACAGAATTTCTCCATACCCTCAGGATCTAAAGTATCAGGATCATCAGGAGTGGTATATTCTCGAAACCAAGCTAAGCATCTTTTTTGACTAAATGATTGGGGTTCTTCTACCCTAGTATTCCTACGAGAACTGAAAATATATTAAATAATACTTAACTGCATTTATATGTGACAGTGGGGAAACACTAAATGCCAAGGTAAAAAGCTTTCAGTGCGACTGATTGGCAACATTTTGAATGAGAGCAGAATGAAATACATTTCATACATTTATGCAATTAAAACGAAAAGTACATAGTTGAAAAAGGTACACAGATATCTAATGCAAGTAGAAAACATTGGAAGTTATTTTTTTTTCAGAAAAACATCTTTTACTTCAGCTAAAGACATTTTAGGTTTTCATAATTTTTCTGTTTACACTTTTATCTCACCACAATCTCCAGTCCCTTTAGCAAATTACCCTTCAAGGGTATGTTACATGTTGCAGGTTACTTTTGACAACTAATGTAACTATATGTCACCTGAACAATCAAGGTCGTACAGAAAAAACATTTTAATTGTGATAGTACAGTTTCATATATGCGAATATGAAAATGATAAAAATTCCTTCAAACCTGCTATTGGTAATTATATAATTTGGTATCAGAATGATGCAACTGGTGTTATTTTATTAGTAATATTATTGAACACACATAAAAAATCCTTATATTTAAAAAACAAATTACGTTATAACACAACTCAAAACATTTACATACTCCTCCTCACTCATATGATAAGGTGTAAAATATTGTTGAATATAATTATTTGAACTTGGTGCTATTTCAGGTATAACCAGACATATATAATTCCTATAAATAGAGCTCCACCTCCATGCTAAGAATAACATAACCTAACAAAATAATTGCATCCAGACATGGATAACTATTGATCAAATAATCATCTTAGTTTTTATATCAATTTTTGACTCTTTATATAACCATACAGGGATTTTCAAGGTGATCAAATCAACCCTGGTGTTAACAATTTTAAAAATACTAACAAAATAAAATGATTAGTTTTCTGATAGGTATTAGGAATTGGAAGTAATGCTTACAACACACAGTATAACAGTACAAGAAAAACAGTTATATACCAGGCAACAAGTGCTAATATATAATAATAATAATTAATGTCATTTATTTGTAATATTCTTACAAGAGGTGAGATAATATATCTATTCTACCATCCCCCCTTAACAATACGAGATGATTAAGAATATGACAAACTGATCTTGAAATACAACAAATGAACTTTTATTTCCCATTTTTGAGTTGACATGTGATTGTTTGCTACTTGTTCATTTTATACAGGCAAAAATTGGACATACCACTCCATATCAAAGCATATCTACAACTATTAGCAATAACATACTTGTACATAAAATGAGAAGGTACTAAAATCAAAGCTGGTCTCATGCATTCTACAGACAATTTGTATAGGCATTTGCAAGTTTTGTATTTTTACCTATTTGAGTTTCGTACTCTCTTTGGAACATATCTATCTTCATCATTGGTGCTCATATCTGTACTTGTAAAACGACGTTTACTACGAGGCATTGCAAGTTTAAATGCCTTATAACTAATATTTCGGGTTTAAAGCTGAAAAATAAAAAATATCAGATGGTGTGTGATGACAAATGTTGTCAAATTTAGACAGAACTTGGGTTATGTTGTAAATGGTATAATTCATCGAGTTATAATTTTTTATTCGGCTGAAAATTGGAAAAACAAGTTTCTGTTTTTATTGTTCATTGGAAACGAGCATTATATGTACTCTACCTTTTATATTTTGCAAATATTGGTTCAATTACCCCTCCCCAACATGGATAATTCACAACACTTGACTGCTGTCAGGTTCTTATGATTTTATTAATTTCTAAAGGTATACTGCATTCGAAAAAATTTAGAACAGTACAGAAAACTCTATGACTTTTTCCAAAACAGCGAATTGTAATTTGGAAGAAATATGCATCAGCTGGGGCATACTTAACCTTGAAATAATGAATTCATAAAACATTGACATGGGAACAACCAGTTATGACAATCGACAGTGATATTTACTGAATATGTCATGCGGGGTGCGTTTGTAAGTCACTTCGTAATGTAATACCGTACTGTAATTTAATGTAGATTGACAGATGAAAGTTTACTCTGAGATACTGTTATTTAGAACGCCTAAACTATTACAGAGTCATGAATCAAATTCAAGTGGATAACCAAATGGAAATGGTATTTACCATTTTGGGTTGGTATTTACCAATCCGTTCAAGCGAGTGTAGTTATCAGTTTGGTTATAAGATCCGTGACGTCACGAATCAGCTGTTATATGTCATAGTTATCACCGCAAAATTGTGGTATTTACCCAACTCAAGAGTAGTTTTATATTTCTGGTTATTATTTGAAATGTGACAAGTTAGAATTTTGCCGGGTATTGGATATTGTTATTGTACTTCAGCTTCATTTTTGAGAAAAATGATACAGGCTGACTTCAGTTTTACCATAAAGTGGAGCACCTTATTAGTTATACTCATTACGGTTGTTGGGGACACTTTAAATGTAGTTCCTATACTTAACAAAGTATCCTGTGTAGCCATATACCACAAGAATATTAAAATATGGCCATATAAACTCACTAGATGATATCCACCTGTATACGGTTTTGCTAATTTCTTTTTTCATCATTTCTGCTGAATCAATAAATGTTTTCTTTGACATGCGGAAAAATTTAGAGAATTGAAAGTTATCATAGCTACAAAGCCATGGTTCCATCATTAAAAAAATCTGAAAAAACCATTTCTCCCATGAATATTATGAAAGGTGTCTTATTTAAACTTTCCATATACAGTTGTAGACGAAAAAGCACCGATTATTGAGTGATAATAAAAATAATCAGAGATTATATACGCGCTTTTCTAAAAGAAACAACTTGCAACAAAACCGCGGTTAAAACCAACGCGTTCAAGCGATTCGTGTAACTGACGTCATCAACCCGTGTGTCATCTTGAACCATATTATAACCGCGGCACATAACACAGGAATTTTGGTTATTCGCTTGGATTTGATTATGTAATGACACTCTATGACAGACCACTAATTTCTAGCCACGTTTTTTTGCGACCGTTGTAATTATTATAAGAGACCCCAGGGATACGGGGTAGCATTTATCATGAAAAATATATATTCTGCCAATTTTGAGGAGTTTTTGATAACCAAATATAATAAGCAAACAATAATCAAATCCAAGCGAATAACCAAAATTTCTGTGTTATGTACCGCGGTTATAATATGGTTCAAGATGACACACGGGTTGATGACGTCAGTTACACGAATCGCTTGAACGCGTTGGTTTTAACCGCGGTTTTGTTGCAAGTTGTTTATTTTAGAAAAGCGCATATATAATCTCTGATTATTTTTATTATCACTTAATAATCGGTGCTTTTTCGTCTACAACTGTATATGGAAAGTTTAAATAGGAAACCTTTCATAATATTCATGGAGAAATGTTTTTTCAGATTTTTTTTTAATGATGGAACCATGGCTTTGTAGCTATGATAACTTTCAATTCTCTAAATTTTTTCGCATGTCAAAAAAAACATTTATTGATTCAGCAGAAATGATGAAAAAAGAAATTAGCAAAACCGTATACAGGTGGAATATCATCTAGTGAGTTTATATGGCCATATTTTAATATTCTTGTGGATACTTAAGCATAGAAACTACATTTAAAGTGTCCCCAACAACCGTCATGAGTATAACTGATAAGGTGCTCCACTTTATGGTAAAACTGAAGTCAGCCTGTATCATTTTTCTCAAAAATGAAGCTGAAGTACAATAACAATATCCAATACCCGGCAAAATTCTAACTTGTCACATTTCAAATAATAACCAGAAATATAAAACTACTCTTGAGTTGGGTAAATACCACAATTTTGCGGTGATAACTATGACATATAACAGCTGATTCGTGACGTCACGGATCTTATAACCAAACTGATAACTACACTCGCTTGAACGGATTGGTAAATACCATTTCCATTTGGTTATCCGCTTGAATTTGATTATAGAATCATGAGGATGGCAAGTGACAGAATTCTTATTCCCAAGGTTTTGAGCTCGGGAAGAAAAGCACGCGTTTCAGAAGGATTACGTTGTTCTATTTCCGAACGGAAGTAACATGTACGTCAACCAATTACGAACGCTAAAAATGTTACAGAGTAGAACACTCTGCAATAATTTACGAACGCAGCCCAGTTTTTTTACCTTGCACATATCATATTTTAATTTCTTTTCGTTTCTTAAAAAATAATTACAGAGAACAACATATTGTAATGTCCCATGTAACCATTTTAGTTTAAAAATATATCATAATGAAGGGAAAATGCACAAAAACATGCTGACATTCATTAAATTTGAAGTGACTTTGACATTTGACCTTGTAAACCTGACCAACGAGTTTGTTTTGTGCTTTTGCTCCGCCTCTATTTGCCTTTCTGCATTTTTCATTGGTCACTTGAAATGAATGCTAGTGACCATGTGACTCATTATCTTATCATTATTTTTGTTTGGAGGAAAAGGTATTTGGCCTTGTATAATTGCAATATTTACAATAGCAATAGACGGTTTTCTGCGTCTTCGTCAAAGCCTTTGATAATTATTGGATTATTATTAAAAGATATATAATATAAAAACACAGGTGAGCACAAGTTTTAGTGTTTAAAAAGGATCCAATATGTTTGGTATCAAAGGTTAACCACTTATAGAGTTATAATAGTATCATTTTTAGGAAAATACCACAGTGATATTGTAACTACTTGGTGCTACTAATTCCCAAAATACATGTGTGAGAGATGGCCACATGTACCTATCAGAAATCCTCTGAAGATGGAGTTATGCAGCAGCTTAAAGAGTTATTTGGCAGTGTCCTCAACATTGATGTAATTCAGAATGTTGCAGTATCGTGTCAGTATGATGGTAAGTTGTTAGTTTGTCATTTTGTAGAAATAAAGTAGAATGGCTATTTTTTATAAGTCGGGCTACAGATCTTGATATAAGCTATAGCTTATGTTCAGTCAATTTAATACAATGCTTGTTAAAAAATATAGTATCTGCATGTTCTAACAATATATGACCTTTAGGCAAAGTATTTAATGTGATCCATTAGTATTTACCAGATAATGTGATTATTAGCCATATAGCTTATAGGCATCAGTAATTATGGATGTATGAAGTTGCACAGAAGGAAGGATATCTAAATACAGATAATTACCTTATAAAACAGCTCATTTAACATCACAGTCATGGTTTCTTTTATCAGTATATTATAAAGATAAGCTATAATAATGGCAATTGTCAGAAGTGGTTTAATTTTTGGTTGCTTGTTGTCTGAGCTTGATTTAGCTATAGCCTATTTCATCAGTAGGGGAGACTTGAGACAAAAATGAATTTTATTTCTTACACATTATACAATTTGCAATTCAAAGATTACAAATAGGGCAAGTGAATTGTGTGAGATTTAGCTAAATTTGCCATAACTTTTCATGCTTCCAAAATATTATTCAAATTGTTCAAACATATTTCAACCAAATGGTGTAAAGGCTCCCTAGGTAAGGGAGCATTGAGACAGGCTATAGGGAGCACTGAGACACTGTAAGATTTTGAGAAACGTTTATTAATTGTTGAAGAAATAAAAAAATAAGAAAATTTACAAGGCAATTAATAATTATTAATTATTAATCAACAATGAAAACTGTCTATTAATTATTGAAAAAATAATGACAATAATAAAGAAAATCAAGGAACATTTTGATGATATTGGAAGTCCAGACCAAATGTCAGAGTAGATTTAACTCTTTCTGTTCCACCCACAGTTTTTGGAAACGTTAATTTGAAAATTATATCTTTTTCTCGGACTGAAAAAATATATTCCACTGGTGGATAAACAAACTTCCAGGTGGTTCCGTGACGATGTAAAAATTTTACCTTGTATTCATCATCTTCCTTTGATATTACCAGACCCACATAATGCATAGTTAAAGTTTTTGTGTAAAACTTAACCAAAACAAAGTCTCCCACTTTGAGGGTCTTGACATCCTCAAGAGCTTTAACCTGAAGCATTTGTCTTTCATAGCTTTCAACATCTGAAATATCTTCGCTGCTTCCGCCCAACTCGCTTTGTTCCTCTTCCTCACTTGAGGAAGACTGTGGTGGAGTTGCAGGTTTCTGTAAAGATTTTTGTTTTTTATCTTCCGAGCAGTTGCTTCAGCCTGTATTGCTTCTTTTTCTGATGTGTCGGTAAGAATTTTTGATGAACCACATTTTCGCGTTTTCTTGGACCTGCCTTCGGAAGCGGTCGCAAAATTTCTGGACTAACAAAATTTTGTTTAGTGTTTAAATCGCGATCTTGCATGCTGGTTTTCGATATAGATGCTGCATCTTCTAAAATTGTACTTGATGTTTCCAGTGGTCGATCGGTTACTGCGCTAGACATAAAATCAATTTCAGTAAACACATCACGAATTAACGGATAAATGCCGGTCGCTGAAAAACTGGATAAAACATTCTTTGGTGTGAAAGCTAATTCGAACGCTTAACTAGCTAAAGCAGCAATATTGTAAATGGACAAGGTTTGGCCTGGATTGGAAACCATCCATGATGCACACTGCGAATCATAGTAATTTTTAAAGGGGAAGTAAATCGATACGCGCAAGGGCTGGTTTTTATGGCTGCAGTGTGGTGGAAACATGAGTATCACAATTCCATTTTCTTTTGCTTTCCTCAGCGACTCAACAGAAATATGGCTCTCATGGTTATTCATTGGTAGCAATACTTTGTTTTCCATGGTACAACCACTGTGCTTTATGAAGTGGTCCACTGGAATTAGCAACTCCAACACTTCCTGGAAAAGCGCCACGTAACATGTAGCCCTTAAAATGTACCCCTGGAAAGACGAAAAACGGCGGGACGAATCTCCCTCCAGCACTAATACCACAACAGAAAGTTACTAATGTAGCCACGTTCAGCAGACGTGATGTTCCCAACTTGTTTAACACCCTTCACTGCCAGGACATTGGCTGGTTTGTGTACAGTTGTAAGCCCTGTCTTATCAATGTTCCAGATCTGATGAGATTGAAACTTTACGCGCTTTAGGGCCGATTCCAAATTGTTAAAAAACATGGTAGCATTTGTGCGGTTAAAACTCGAACGTTGTGACAAACTGGTTGACTCTGGAGTCCTCAGCGATAACTCGGGATGGCGATGTCTAAAACCTCGATACCAATCGTAGCCAGAAATTGATTTTTCATCCCATTTTATAGGATATTTGTTATGGTTGGCCTTAGCAAATTGAAAGGCTAGTTGACGTGCGCATGTAACTGTTAATCTATGATGCATTTGCGAAGCACGGACTAGATAATCCGACTAGCCTCTTCTTCATGGGTAAGCACCAACGCAGTTTCAAAATCGGGTGAATAAGTAATGTTTTCAGCAGGGGCATCCAAATTACTTTTTTTCACATATCTGCTGAGCGTTTGTTTGTCTATATCATATTTCCTTGCAGTTGCGCGTAACTTAGCTCTTCCAAGAACTTCCACTGTGGCTTTCATCACGTCAGAAGGTGGAACTGTTCGTTTCGTTTTCTTAATCTAAAAATGGGGCATATTGTATCTAAAACGATATTATCCAATTATTTCTCAACCAGATCAGCATTTTTTTAATTGTTTAAAAATACTATTAATCCAGTGACTCAGATGTTTAACCGGAATTTTAGATTAGATAATTTTATAAAATGCTACATAGGGAGGCATGAGACGTCCCATGTCTCCCCAAAACAACTAACAACTGCCTCATGTCTTCCTATATAGCATTTCATAAAATAATCTAACAAAAAATTCTTGATAAACTTATGTTTCATGGGATAACTATATAAATAATTCACAACATACCTGAGGTCACAATGCCTAAACAAACAACTCGAATTTTCACTTTAACTTCCTGCAAACTATAACGATATTACAAAATTAAAATTTAGTTTTGGCAGCCGTTTGGCACCTGCACTAACAATAATGTTCTACTAATTATTCCCGCCGGTTCGCTGGCCAAAGGGTAAGAGATTTGACTAAAGTTATTAACCAGTAACTAACAAATGGCTCTGCATACCCGATTTTAGGAAATAAATGTAGTGTCTCATTCCTCCCTTGTCTCAAGCCTCCATGGTCTCTCCTATCCATCATGGTAGAAGGACAGCTCATTATCTAGTAATATTTCAAAATTCCCCATATCAGCAGAGGACACATAATTCTGACCGATCAGTCAATGTCAGGTAATCAGAACTGTATTTTGTTTTGTTTTTTGTACGCTACAGATTAATTTTGTTCTTGCTAATAGCTCTTTTATTTAGAAAAGTTCATTTGCATACAAAAAACAAAATGCTACAAACAAGTTTTACTAGATTTACATCCGATTCATCATTGCCAATGTCATAGACTAACACAAAAATGTCACTTGCTGATCAGCTGTCCTCCTCAGTAGACGTCAAAGGGTGATGGATACTCGTGAAATAGGGTGTAAGCTGCTACTTATGCCTTTCATTTTGTGCTTTAACAACATAAAACAAGATGTAACATTAGTTTGGGAAAATGTAATTTATTTGTCACAAACACTTGAGACACTACATTAATAAGTACCTTGATTCAGTTAGATTACTTCAGTCTATATATAAAATGTGCATAAGCTTGTTTAGATAAAATATAATATAAACATATCACATTTAATCTCTGCAAGAATAAATATGTTTTTCCTTATATATCTTTAGCAAAATGACATTGAATGTAGGAAAGTGAGTGTAAGTTTTACTTAGTAATAATTAATGCAGAATTTATCTAAAAACAACTGTTCTGTTGTGTTTTTATGAGTAGAATGGTTGCAGTATGTAAGGTTGATACCCAAAGATTTCAAGATACATGAATAGTGCAGTTTATGTTTAATCAATTAAGATGTTTGTGAAAAATTAGTGGAAGCAAGCATTTTTAGAAACATTTGGATATAATATGGTATGCATCACGTATTCAATAGTGTCCAGACTAATAGAACAATAGTTTTTGCTCAGACATCTAGGAGGCACTCAAGGCCAAACAAATAACTTCATTTCATTTTACACTTTATAGTACAACATGACCTTGTTGTGATCAGAGGTAGCTTATACCCCTTTAGATTGAGATTAAATTCATTGATTTATTCATGAATTGAGATAAAGGCATTTCCAAAGTGTAAAACAGGCATTTGAATCAAATAAATTTATGAAGTTCTTCATGGATTTCATCTTCTTCAATTTGAGCTTGTTCTAATTTTTGCTAAGTTGAACAAATTCCGTGCTGCCAACATCGTTTCCTATTTACATCATATTAAACAACTTTCCAAGTCAATCCCATTTAATGACCGTTTTCCTTATTTTCACAGTGATAAAATCATCAGACAAATTACTGGAAATTTCAAGCCGTATGGACCACTTTGACAATAAGATGGGCGATAAACATAAAACCGTTGCTTTTGGCGGTGTCAATATCCCAAACAGTTTCTTGCCACTATCTAATTCGTCCAGTACCTCATCTTTGTCCTCTAACAAATCCAGAAAAGCTAGTGACATTGAGAGAACCATCAGTTATATTCAACAAAACTTCAAAGTTCTTGTCTTGATGCGTGGACTACCAGGTTCAGGCAAAAGCACTTTGGCGAAAAAAATCCTTGAAAGCACGATTGGGTATGACGAAACTCGAACTGTGCATCTTTTGAGCACTGATGATTATTTTCGTACGAACAAATTGGGCGTTTACAATTATGACGCCACAAAAATTGAATCAGCTCATGGTTGGAATCAGAATAGGGCGTTTCAGAGCATGAGTAGAGGATTTAGCCCAGTTATTATAGATAACACCAACGTCCAAATGTGGGAAATGAAGCCATACGCTACTATGGCGACTGATTATGGGTATATAATCGAAATTTTAGAAGCAGATACACATTGGTGCTTTGATGATAAAGAGCTGAGTAAACGCAATACTCATGGAGTGCCGAGAGCAAAGATTAGAGATATGCTGGAACGTTACGACAAAAATATAACGGCTCGTAAACTACTCTCTGCTTATAATTTGTATTATAAACTTCAAAAACCCCCACAGCTACGATTATACCCCCCACCGAATAATATAGCAACAACAAATAGATATAAACAAAATAATAACGAGCCATCTATTAAACCAGAAACAGCTACGCTTTTAAATCACCAAACTGAAAAGACCAAACCTATTGAAACAATCAATCTGATGGAATTCGACGATGAAGTTACCACAAAGCCAAAAGAAGCTACTTGCAATTCACCTTGCGAACCAAATCCTGTAGATAAAATATTGATGTTTTCTAATGACATTGAAGCAACGAAGGTTCTTAAACCCCAACAGAACCAAAATGATACTGTTAAATCAGTCCTCAATGCCTGGGGCGTCGATGAAATAGCCTTGAGATCATGGGACTTTGTTACACCAGTCAAGGATGAGAGAAACCTTGGCTGTACTATTCAAACTCCAGTTGAGGTAAACAAAGTGATTATGATTGAATCTGGAACAAATACAGAAGACGAATATTTTCATTTATTGAAAAAAGTTAACGTCTCTGTCTATCCAAGTGGGATAACAGTTTTGGATACCTTGAACCGAGATATCAACAGAAATACGCCCCAAAGAACATCCCTTATTCCCAAAAAATTGATGTTGGATAAAAGTTGTATGACAGAAGGCCTATATGAAGATTACGAGAATCATATGACTCAGTTGGAGAGTCTTTTCCCTGATGTGCCTTCAACTTACTTGCAATATTGGTACAAAAAATGCCAAAGAGATTTAGAGTGGACTATAGAGTTCTTGTTGGAAGCCAAAGATGAGATTACTACTCTTATTGAGAAACATGATGAAGAAAATGAGCTTGAGGATAAGAATGTTTCAGATGAGGATAATAATTCTGATAATAATCAGCCTTTCCAAGTAAAAGAAAGTAGACGCAGAAAGCGGAAGATTTCAGAGGAGAGCAACAATTTGATAAAACTGATCGAAAGTAAAATTGATATCAACAGTGATCACTACTCTGAACATTTACGCAGAATTAAAAACAGGCAGAAAGGAAATTCAGATTCAGCAATACCTTCTACATCTTCCGCTAATTGTGAAGATAATGTTAGACAACGCACATCTTCAAATGAAAGTTCGACAGAGGTTGATTCAGACATTGAAGTTGATGAAGTAGATGTGCTAAAATCAGCAAGAATGGAGGAGACAATTGAACTTAACTTGGGTGAGCACTTTGTTGCTCAACTTGAAGAGAAATTCGGTGAGCCAAGTTTGAGTTACCCCAAGGGATTTCAACCTGTGGTACAAATGCCCGCTAGCTTAGCTAGGCAGCTCTACACGTTCTATTTGGAGAGTGTCTACCAACAAATGGACAATCAAAAGCAAATTCTGGAAGAGATGGCTAAGGAAGATGAAGAGTTTGCAAAGAAGTTGCAAGCTAGCGAGTTTGAGGAGTCAAGGCCTTTGCAACCGGACCCCACTCCAAATCTTCAGGAAATAATGGAAGGACAGAGACAGTACAATAAAGAAGTAGAAAAATGGAAGAATATGAACCCAGATAACTTGGCGCTTAAGCTGACAAGAGAAAAGTTGATTAACAGTTTTCCAACAATCAATCAAGATACTTTGATTGAAATATTGTTTGCATATGAGAACAAATATGCGGAAACGGTGGAGTCTTTGCTAGCTTCAATGGAACCTGGTGATGTGCAAGGAAATGTGGAAAATATCAAGGAGCCACCTATTCAAGAAGAGGTCTTGGAAGAGATGAAGGAAGCCCAGAGAGGCAATACCAACCAGGTAAGCAAGTTTTACTTCCTGCGTCAGTTTTTCCACACAACTTTTCACTATTATGCCAAGGACGTAAAAACTGCGTGGGAAGTATAGAATCAATCTACTTGACGCAATTTTTCATAAATATTCACTTACAATTTCCATAATAACAGCGATGTTTCCAAGTAGGATTGCAGTACTTTCCTTAGAAATAATAAAAACACCTCAACTTCCTTTTAAAGAAAATTGACATGACATTATCCTTGTGTAAAAACATCACCACTCACCTTCCTTCGTGATTATTCTTAAGATTTCATAAGATCTGCGGTAACATTACGAGAGGTGGCAACGCTGGCACATAAAGACGGTGGTCGACACGTATATAGTTGGAAGCATAAGTGGTTGATTTGTCACGGTACCTGAAACTATATTCGCGTGTTCGAAAAAATGTAGGATATGGAATGAGATACCGTGGCGTCATCTGTGTGAATTTGTCCCAGATATCTTTCTCCTCTCCGCAATAATTAGAAGTCTATTTTGAATAGGTTAGTGTCTTGTAGATGGCAAAGTAGCTATATGCTTATATATACATAATTGGCTACAGCACTATCTGTGAGAGACTAAGCTTCCCAAAGTAGATTTCTAATTCGCAGCCAATAATATAATATTCTATGCTGACGATACCACTATAGCTGTTGATGCGGAGACGGCTGAGGAACTTCAACACAAAATGACAAAAACAGCAACAGAGCTACATCATGGTGCAAGAGAAACTCAATAGTAAATTCCAGCAAAACCGTGATCATTCAATTTTATTCAGGCACCGGATCGAGACGAAAGATCCAAAATTTAGATATACAAGTAAATTCAGACATTGTTAGTATTTCCCACTCCTCAAAATTTCTTGGCCCTCAACAGCGACATGAGCTGAACGACAAATATTGGAGAGCTTCGCAAGAAACTTGACATTCTTCAATTCAGACGTTGCCTTGATATCACTCAGTTACTGCTCACAAATATCGTACCACGTGATATGGGGAAACTCACCACTGGTTGTAATAGTATTCGTTGCACAGAAACGGATCATCTGTTTAATGTTTGGCCTGGAGTCAATAGAATCATGTCGACCCTTTTTTAAACGCTACAATATACTTACCCGACCAACACAATATATTTACAATTGTATCATGTTCACAAAGAAGCCCATAACCATGTACGAGAAAAGCTGCAACGTACATGCCAGAGGTAGGACTATGAAAGAAGCCCCTTTGACATAGGCCATAGGCTCTTCCAACTCATAACCTCATTCTCTCAAGTCCATGAGTGATTAAAATAGCTTTAAGAGTTTCCTAAAAGAGGTTCTAGTAAATTGCTTCTATTCTATACAAGAAGTCTTAAATTTTTAATCTTCTTAATGAACTTCTATTTTTCTCATTGTGTATGTTTTGCTTAAATCTGCGTGTTTTACTTGTACTGTATTTTTGTATAATCTTAAGTGCAGTTTTTAAACATCATATGGCATGTCCATTATCTTTCCAAGATCAACAAGATGAATAAATGTATTATTATTAATTATTTCTGATAGGAGGTAGATAGCTGTGATAAATTCTGATAGATAACGCTACGGTAACTCATTTCATCTCCGATAATTTATTGGACGCGCGAATATAGTATTAGGTTGATTATCCTTAGGAAGAATACGTTTATCAATGTTTCGATTGATTGGAGTATCTTCTGGTGAAGTATGTTCATTAACGGTTTAACATTCTTTTTTTCAAAATTATCGGCACGGGTATCACGTATCTTGAAAAGTGACATGATGCCGATTTTTCTTTTTGACATTATGCTGGTTTGTTTTGAGATTATGTAGGTTTTTCTATAATAACTTAGCACTTAGTTGTACGTGTTGTCTAAACGTCATGAGGCTTTAGTTATCAATGTTTATCTCTGATGTTGTGTAAAATCTGCTGCAGAGATGGCATTACTGAAGGTCTAAGCTGTAAGTTGTATGTGTTGATGATAATTCCATTGGATTCTTGTCTCAAATACACTTAATTGAGATTCAAAGCTAGAAATTAGTTGCGCATCCACTATTTCTTATAAATTCTGGAAATTACATATACAAATTTGCTGAATTTCAAAAATGAGAGGGATAAGAAATAATTATATTTACTGTACACTGTCGAATTACAAGCTATTATATACTAAGTGACATATAAATCCGAACACCCAGTTTAAATGGTTTTATTTTAATAAAATTTTGTATAAGTACTTAATGAAGCATAATAAGTAAATGATAAAAATTTCAAAATGATTGCACTGCTTTAAAGCCCTTTGACCTTTAATAATGTGTGGATGCACCCTGATTCTCCAGCGCGCCTAGGCATGCTTCTGATCAGGTGGTCAATGTCCTCCTGTGGTATCTCATTCCAGGCAACCACCAACTCCTCTCGAAGTGCTTCTAGAGTCTGAGGAGGACGTTGCAAATTGAGCAATCTCCTACCCATCATATCCCACACGTGCTCAATTGGGGATAAGTCGGGAGATCTTGGTGGCCATGGTAACAATGTGACATCATTATGTTGGAAGAAGTCTATTGTGACTCTTGCAACATGTGGTCGGGCATTATCTTGTTGGAAAGTTGGATCTGCCAGGGTGTCAAGATAGGGTAAAAGATGGGGTTCTAGAACTTCGTGGATATAACGCTGCGCGTTCATGTTACCTCTGATGAAGATTAAAGGTGACCTGGAACCATAAGCTATAGCACCCCAAACCATAACTCCAACAGTGTGATGAACATGTCTTTCAACAAAAAACTCTGGATTCCTCCTTTCACCACGTCGCCTTCTAACCCTGGCACGACCATCGTGCATGCCTAAACAAAATCGAGACTCGTCACTAAAGACAATACTGTTCCATTCCTGATCCCAGAGTGACCGTTGTCTGCACCACTCGAGGCGATTACGTCGGTGTTCTCGAGTTAAAGGGAGGACCCAGTGTGGCCGGTATGAAAACAAGCCAAAACTTCTCATTCGTCGGTAAACACTTCGCATGCCAATAGGTCTTCCGTGTTCTGCAAACCATTCATTTGCAATGGACCTGGTAGTGGAGAAACGGTCCCTTAAGGCCAATAATCTTAGGCGGCGATCTTCACGGTCTGCTGTTCTACGGCGGCGTCCAGTGCCCCTTGCTCTTTGCGTACGGCCTTCTCGAAGCCATGCCTGACAACACCTAACCACATTGTCTACACTTCTTTGCACTCTAACTGCAATTGCCCGAAAATAAAGTCCACCTTCCCGAAGTCCCACTATACGGCCCCTATCAAACTCACTAAGTTGACGAAATCGTACAGGTCTCCGTACTCTAGGCATCGTAACCGATCGTAAAGGATGTCAAGAACCAACATCCGCCAACGTTGATTCTTTACTGCGGCTGAAATATTCATTTTTAGAGCGTTAGTGAATTAAAAAAAAAGCAGTATAAAAACCGGAATGTCCGACTGATAAGGCTGAAAATTTTTTCACTTGTTATTTACAGTAAGATAAATACATTCACCAAATTTTATTAAAATAAAACCATTTAAACTGGGTGTTCGGATTTATATGTCACTTAGTATACATGCTAACAGTAATTACACACAACGCGGGCACCGTGATGATTTCCCGTAATTCTCAAAGTTTTTCGTAATTTATAACTTTGAACATAACCTCTATTTAGAAAGCACAACATATAAATAACTCGTCATATCCAGCATATTCAGTGATGATTTTCTCACACAGCAAATATCACTGATTTTATACACATGCACACCAATACACATAATCATCCAGATGCGATCTTGCTGTTCAACCAACTTTCTTCTCAGAGATAAAAACTACAGACACGGACACTCAGCCTCACAAAATTATGCAACCAATAATGCGTGAAGTTTAGGTGAATGATTCCTCCATAGATGGACGTTCACAACGATCCTAGTGAGCAAACGCAGAATGACTGTTTGCGCCCTAAAAACTACCTAGTCTGAAAGTTGACATCTTATAGGTTTTTTTGGCGTTTTATAGGTTTTATATCCTGTGCGGGAGTCTATAGATTATTTTACAGACTAACAATGTATTTTACTAAATATTTTGTTTCAAGGAATACGATGAAGTCCAACAAGCTACATTCTATCGTGAACAAGCTAACAAATTCCAAAAGCGAAGGGAAGAATTATACAAAAAGGCCCAAAAGTACTGCCAAAAAGGCATGAAAGAAGTGGCCCAGTTCTATTCAGGACTGGCGAGCCAACAGACAGATTACTTTGAACGAGCAAATAGTATGGCTGCTACGGCCTTTCTTGACGAACATTTCAAAAGGTATGTAATTGTTTGTCAATTGTTCTAAAGCATACAAACCTACGATGTGATCTTAATTTTATCCTGATCGTACAGTCTGCGAAGATCGAAAGTTCACCGCTTGTTAGCCTACCAGACCGGATCATCAGATTAAGGTTTGAACTTGTAGATACTTGGCTATATCAAGAATTGGTGGACTTCAATTTTCTCAACTGTACACGTTAAGGTGTTTCTGGAAAACTTAAGCAGCTTTTAGTTTTCCATATACATTTCGTTACAGCTTAGGATGAATTTAAAACGTTTCAGGTTGCAAGACTTCAACACGCTCGATTTACACTTTTTATACGTCAAAGAGGCGATTCCAGCTCTTGATATGTTTTTGGATAGAGCCATCAATTTGTTGAGGAGTAGCAAAGAAAAACAGTCCGAGTATCTGCAAATTATCACCGGGCGAGGGAAAAACAGCCAAAATGGCGTCGCAAAGATCAAACCTGTGGTTCAAGCTAGGCTTAAGAAGCGGGATATCAAGTATGTTATCATATTTATCACGGGCGCATTAAAAGCGAGATACTAGTATGTTCACCATTATACAGTGGGAAAGTTCACTTTTTGATTAAAAAAAAAACAAAATTAACGAAAAGAAAATATTTATTACTATCAACATATCCGTAAACTCGGTGGGTTTTATTTCTTAAATATCATTCCGTCCAAATATTTGCCATCCCTTCAGACACACGCTTCTAATCGCGCGGGCAAATTCTGAAACACTCTCTTGCACAGTTCAGGAGTGATGTTTATTTCTCGTCCAATGTTGTTTTTAAGCTCCTCCAGTGTTCGTGGATTATTGGAACACAGTTTTGACTTTAGATAACTCCACAAAAAATGATCGCATGGCGTGAGGTCGGGTAACCTAGGAGGCCAGCGAGTGTCTCCAAACTCCGATATCACTTTTTTACGACAAAATGATTTCACCGTGTTCATCGATTCTCTGGAAGTATGGGTAGTGGTCCCACCCTGTTGAAACCATGTGTTTCTGTTAAATCGACTTACGACTAAAAAAAGTGTCAATCATGTCCTTGAATCGATTGGAATTGACTGTCCATGCGTTACCGTTTTCATCTTCAAAGAAATACGGCCCAATAATACAGATAGAGGATATAGCGCACCCAACAGTCACCTTTGGACTATGTAGCTGTCGTTGATGTTTCTCTTTTGGATTCCTTGGTGCCCCATATCTGCAATTTTGCTTGTTCACATAACCGTCTAAGTGAAAATGGGCATTGTCACTGCAAACAACGTTCTAGAGTCTGCGCTGGCACGTAGAAAAAAGATTCAACATCCGTTCATCACAAAATTTCCGTAATATGTAATCACTTTCCTTTAAAGCATGGACTGATTGGATTTTATAAGGTTTAAAACTGATTTTTTTCTTCATAATGCCATAATAACCGAATCATTTACTCGACGCACATTTTCTTCGGTCAATACAGTAGGTGTGGCATGACTAAGAGTAGAACCTCTTAATTTACTTTTTTCAATAGGTTCTTACTTGGGGCATCTATTGGGCATCTATTGTATTGTATCGAGTACAAAATTTCCGAATCACCACTCTTAAAGTAAGCCTCGATAGCAAAAGCACGTTGCGCTTCGGTCCAACGTTCCATTGTGACTATTTAACCCGCACGCCGAACGCGTCGATCAAGACCTCTCCCCACTTCGTCGCGTAATTAAAATTTTGAAATGTCAACTTTGCCACTGGACTCCCTAAGAACAATTATATTCTAACATGTTTTGAGTGTATTTTATCCTAATGTCGATTTGCAGGTTTGTGCAACTGAATCCTGGGCTTCTAAAAGTGAAAGTTACAAAGACTACATTGATTACCAACGAAATGCCATTAAATTAGAGGTAATATTGAGCTTTCCACTTAATGACCAATAATTTCTTTCAAAGTCAATCGATACTACTTTAAAATTTTAAGTAAAAGTTCGTGTATGGTATAAACTGTTGATTTTACTTACATAGTTTATGTGTTGAACAATGCCGAAAATGTGAAGACTATTTTTATATGACAGAACTATAACATTTAAGTACAAAATAATTATAAGGTTATTATAAGCTTTCCTGTTTTTGATTTTTTAAGTTTTCATTTGCAAAGATGATGTTTGCTTGTTATTTTATGGTGCTTAACTCTGAGGTTAATTTCAATCTTATTCTGTGTTGATGAAAGGATACCTCATGAGTGTTTTTATAATTTTATACTATTTTACATTTATAATAGGCTCTAATATCATAACCAATAATACTACAATTACTTGCATGCTGATATCGTATAAAAACAACTTTTATACAAAGACATTAGCTGTTTTTAGACAAAATGCTGCGAAATTGGTGGCGAGGTGCTACCTAGAAAACAACTATTTCGTAACGCATTTTTTATGGATTTGTTTTATAGTTGTTAATAATTTTTTTAACGTTCTTGTCTACAACCCTTTCGACTTCTAATTTTGCAGATACTAGAAAGTATTTTTGCGTTTGGAATTCCTAAATGAAAATCGACAAGCAGAACTATAAAACGTCAGCAAGTTTTCCTCATTTTTCAATTTAGTTATCATAGTCGGTTATGCTTCATAGAACCTATATACCAAGAGCCGCTTTCCACCAGCTGTCAATACCGTTCCACTGCTCTAGAGTGTCATGCACCTGAGCTACACATTTTAGAAATTCCCTGTCCCCTCATGCACTAGCTTTTTATTCGGTTTTATACGCTCCGAAATAGTGGGGATAACGAAAATGACAATGTGTCAAGATTATTAGGTTACGTTTTATGTTTTCATTTTTTTGTCAAAAAATGATTTTTTGGTGCATTTTTTCTTCAATCGGAACTTGTTAATAAATAATATTGCAGCTCTGAAATAGTGTGTGACTATTCCTTTTTTATGGAAGAATGAATCAAGTGATTACTTTTGTTCTTATCACTTTTCCTTTTAGAAAAATCTTTGATTTTCTTGAAGCCTTGTCTCGCAGCAGGTTTCAAGAAAAGCAAATAGAAAAACTGATAAGAATAAAAGTGATCACTTAATTCATTCATCCATAAAAGTGGAATATTCACATACAATTTCAGAGCTGTACTAATATTTCTTAACAAGTTACGATCGAAGAAAAAATCCACAATAAAATGCACCTAACATGCATTTTATGACAAAACAAAATTAAAAACGATGTCATCTCTATACACATCATGAAGTAATCAGACGAAAAGGATTTAGAAATACTGTTGCAAACAGCTAGTTAAAAAAAGCGAAAAAAGGGACGTGCGGCCTCAAACCGACAGATACCAGACAATGGAGGATGACAAAAAACTGATAATGTTATGACCCAGACGTACATTTGAAATGTTCCTGAACAATAAAGATCTATAACTAGACACAGAATAATTTTGAATGTCTACACTTAAATATAAATTCGACACATTTACCCACAAGCTTTACAATAAAAATGTGTTTACATTTTCATTGTTTGGCAGTGTGATACAAATTGTCAACGTCAAAGCAAAACATCAAAAAACAGGTTAGGTTCGGGAGCATCACACTCCGGGTGCATACAACTCTCAATTTAAAAGCTCTGAAAAACGGCTCAGGAGAACCCACCTGGGTACCATGATCGAAAGCGGTGTTGCCGGATCTGCAAGTCGTCGTAATTTTCACCGGCTGTTCGATATTCGGCAAAATAGTGCGCGCTTCGTACTCTTCGAAACGCTTTGTGAACGAAATGTGTTTCTTTGATCAATTTCCATTCGATGAATCTTCTAAATAAATAACGTTCAAACGCTCAAAAGCCTGTTCGAATAAGGCTTTGTCGCAGATACTTGGTCAACAAATTCAATTCTGGCAACGCGGACTCGAAACTTCGCGATCTCTTCACCCAATGTCCGGAGCTTTTGCGCGGTCTAGCTGTGTTTGGTAGTTGGTGGGAGAATCCAAAACTTATAGTGCGAGATCGGGCGGCTTCAATATGCACGTATTTTTTATAAAATGTATTTTTTACGTACGTTAAATAACAGTAGAGCAGATTACAGCTGAGTTGCCTGTAATGTATTCTACTATTATTTATCTTTCACCAGAGTTTTATCAATCAAGCAGATACCTGCAGATTCAACCGGTCCGATCTTAAGACTGTAGGGAGGTATTCATTTGACGGATCTGTCAAAGCACAGCATTGCCAGGTGGGTCGAACAGATTTTTTCGAATAAAAAAAACATCAAATCACAGATAGTTGTAAAAGTCCCCCAAATTTGTGGGAAAATTCCTCAACATGTCAACCCTGTCAAAGCACTGCTGGTACCCCAGACGTCAAGTTTGGGAGTCACTTTTACATCACGAACAGTATTGCCGTAGTTTCTCCTGGTATATAGACTCCGTGCTTGAATAATTGAAAATTCCTATACTATATTATCACTCAGTTGATTTTGTCTTAGGTTCTTTTAACACTGATGACTATCATTTGTTTTCTATAATTGTTACGTTTTGGTAATTATAAATGGTAGGCTCAATTTAAATAGGAAGTACTTGGAGGTTATTCATGTAAGTTTATTTTCATACTTTTATTATTTCTTTCCCATTAGATATATAAAACTTTTATATGTTTATATATTGTAATATATGTTCTTCTATCAAATAAGTAGTATATTTTCAATACCCAAAGACACAGGTGGGTCTAGCATCAGGAGTGTGTAGTGTACAGTTACTGTTAGAGATTAAAAGGTATGTAAACCGGTTTAAATGGAATCCAAAGTGACATAAAAAAGTAGACATATTCGAATCGATTTTCTAATGTGGCGACTCGCAAGTGGAGGGTAAAATTCTAGGATAAAGATTTTTTAACGAAAGAAAAACACTTGCATATATTAATATAAATGTATAATTACATATTGACTAAGTATTAATTTTAACAATTAACGCTACATGATGGGAAAATAAATAGATGCGATTCTTGTCAAACTCCACGCATAAGAAAGGGAGCCGCTGTGACAGCGACTATTTTAAAATTTCAAATATTTTTTTTTATGTTCTGCGATGTCTGATCCGTCACTTATTTCCGTCGGCCTGAAGTGTGTGTGTGTGTGTGTAGGTGTTGTTTTTACTTCATTTTTGTAAATATAACACTGGTGTTATGAGCAAACTAACAGAACAGCTTCAAATCGATCACAAACTTTGTTTTTGCTTGCTTTACTTCTTTCTAAAAAAAATGAGGCATGATCAAAACATTTTCTGGACAGGTTGCAATTTTAAAAAAAATAAAAAATTTGTTTTTTTCTTTTCTGATTACTGCTTGGTAGACCGCAGTCAAAAATATTATTATGGAGCTCAAACATGTTTTCTTTAGCATGGTTTACTTTTGATTTAAATATAAAAATAATGATACCCAAAAAGCATTTGTAATTTTTTATGTCAACATTTTCGATTTATATATATCGAAAATTTGAAAATTGATGTGAATGTGAATTTTGTAAATGATGCCCTGACTGTTTCTATATCTAACCGAAAAAGAAGAGAGCAACAAAACACCACGTACGCCCATGCTAACGCGGAATCTCTTTGAATATGGCGGGATACCCGCGCGTTGACTTTGTCAATTCGAAATCGTCATGGGCGTGCGATATTTCGCTGCTCTCTTCCTTTTCGGTTCCCGAATAAACATATTTTTCAGAATTATATGATACTTAAATGTACCACCCATTTCGCCTAACCTTTAATTTGTGTCACTTTATGTCTATGATGGTTCTCTGAATATCTCGTCAAGCAGATTGACTCATTACTTATGACATATTGATATACAAAAGGCTTGGACTGACAAACCGACATAAATGAGAAACACTTACTTGTATTTGTATGATGCAACAGAAAACACATAGATTTTGAAAATTGGAAATAAAATCGCTGGAACATTGTGTTACAGCGCTTCAGAGATTCCTGTTCATTTTCCGACATTGTTTGAAGGGGGTGAAAATTGTAGATTGGAAGCTGATTTCGGTGAATGTTATTATTAAAGACCTATTATTAAGAAGTTGTTGATCTCAATGATATTATGCACCTGTTACACATAATAAATCACACATATTCCCCTACAACTGTTATGGAAACAGAAATATGATCGATTTACTTTATTAGTTTGATATCCAGAGATCGAAGATTCATCGAACCGAAGTGAACCTACCTAATCACGATTCGATTTCGCCTTCTGAAAGTTTGACAAATCTAGCTTGGTCTCCCAAGGTCAGATGCGCGGTATATATATAAATGGCAGAATTGTTCATGAATTACTTGCCCATTTGAGCAGCGGTGAGACCTAACATCTTGGTTGAATAGCATATCAGAGCCTGTGTACAAAATGGGTCTTTTTTATTCAAAACCATTGTAAATTATACATTAGATACAAGAACGGGTCTCTGCAGCTACAGGTGTCAGTATGAGTACCATCATACGTATTAAAAAGGAATCGTTAAATATACAAGAGAACAGCACAATTTCATTTTCTACACCAAACAAAAGGAGAAATATTAATAGTAAAGGTTGATTCTCACTATACATTCCGTTTCCATGCCATATCAGTTTCGTAAACGTTCCGTACAAAGTGATTGTATACACAGTATACCTTACGGATAATGTGCATACACACGCAATAGCCTGCTTTAAGCGAAGGCGAATATTTAATTTCAATACTTTACGGAATGTATAGTGAGAAACAACCTTTAGGTGGCGCTGGATGGGTTCGACGTTTCGACAGAGGATTGTTACGAAAAACAATAATAAACTTTCATGTAACCGAAAAAAGTGTACCTACATACCTTGCAATGTGTACACAGGAAGATGATTGAGCTAGTAGGATATCAGGGAAGCAGAAAAACATTGTGTAAAAAATTCATAAATTAGGGTTTAAATGGAACAAATTTGAGACCCATAGGAAGCTATTAATGGAAAAACCAGAAATTCGCCATTTACGTATAATGTTCTTGAGGAGTATGTAGAAATGTAGACAAGAAGGACGTCCAGTGATCTATACGGACGAGACATACCATATTATACACGCTTCCCATACATTGTCTTTTATAAATTTCTCTGTGTAGTTGGTATGCGAAGTCAAGGGGTTGTCCACGAAGTACGAATTGTAATCGTAAAATAGGTAGCCTTTCATCAAATTAAATGTAATAACAGAATTTGGCACGCTGTAACTGAACTTGCCGCGTCGACTGTACTTCTACATCCGTGGACTATTACCGTTTCTCTCAAACATCCACCGTCTCACTCTGTTTTCTGCGCATCTCGCGGCTCAAGCTCGATTTGCCGACCTGTACTCTGAAACCTCCAACGAAGGCGTAGGAAATATAGAGTCAATCTACTTGACGCCATTTTTATAATTAACAATGACGCAAAAATCTAAAAAAGCTTTGTTCGGAGAGAAAACAATTTTTGAAATATTTGTTTTTTGTCTCCAGTTTGGATCTGGCAACATGCAGATTCGTTAAAAGAGTCCTTTTTGAGTAAGATTATGCAAAAAAACGAATCACAATATATTTCCGAGCAGGTGCGATGATACTTCCTGGGCGAACAGTCAGAAAGTAGGAAATAGAAACCATTAAAGCGAAAGACGTCACGCGCCTTTTCACCGCGCAAATATTCGAAAAGAGATGAATTCATTCATACTGTGTGCCCACTATGCCTCATCGAAAACGTCGCATATATTTTTAAGACGTTTTTGTTGGGAGCACCACGCGAGACATCGAAAATGTTTTTCGATTGACGTAGACATCGCCTGGCGTTAAAATAATGACCGCTCGCGTCAAAATTGGGACGCGCCAGTTTGGTGGGTACAATCAATTAACAGAAAGCTTGGCAAAACAACTCGCTTTCTCCAGATATTTTCAGATGTCTCGCCGGTTTGCAGGCTTTATTGATTTTAATTTTCAAGGCGTGAATAGAGCAAGTATTGCGAAAACTTTGGAATTATATGATTTGGAACAACTGATGACCAAGATGTATACGTTTTGAAAATCAACATCAAGGACGATCAAGAAGGCAATCAAGGTGATCGGCGCACGGGTATCATGTAAAAAACCTATAAAACGTCAAAAAAACCTATAAGATGTCAACTTGCAGACTAGGTAGTTTTTAGGGCGCAAACAGTCATTCCACGTTTGCTCACTAGGATCATTGTGAACGTCCATCTATGGAGGAATCACTCAACTAAACTACGCATTATTGGTTGCATAGTTTTGTGAGGCTGAATTGGTTGAATAGCAAGATCGCATCTGGATGATTATGTGTATTGGTCTGCATGTGTATAAAATCAGTGATATTTGCTGTGTGAGAAAATCATTACTGAATATGCCAAATATGACGGGTTATTATATGTTCTGCTTTCTGAAGAGAGGTTATGTTCAAAGTTATAAATTACGAAAAACTGAGGAGAATTACGGGAAATCATCACCGCGCCCGCGTTGTGTGTAATTACTGTTAGCATGTATAGGGCTTGTAATTCGACAGTGTACAGTGAGTAAGTAAACAAAACTAAAACAGTACTACATTTGTCTCTTAAAAGACAACATAATGTCTTTTTGTTTCCAACATTTTGTATAATAAACAGAGAATAAATCAAAAATAACTTATGGCCTGTTGCACCAGTACTATTTAACGTCAGCTTAGATGGAAACCTAGTTTAATTTGAATATTTCTATTGCACAAGTACTTAAAAACTCGTTTAAAACTGTGTAATATGTAAATGATCAATTTTTTAATTGTAAAATTGATTTTATTGGCCATAACGATATTTTAAACGATAATTTGGGTATCCTTGAACTAATGAATAGTTTTATAGAAGAATTATTCAAATACCAAAAAACAAAAACTATTCCCACGAATTTAGCAATTATGACATTTTTTAGGAAATTTAGTTTGTAGTTTTGAAAATCCTGCCTGTAATTGAATACCCAAATAATTTGAGAGTTATCTACCAAAATGTCACTTGTCAAGATACGTAATACCCGTACTGACCACCGACACTACCCCGATTCAACCCCTTCGAGACAAGTTCAACTTATTTTTTTCTCCGTTCGTTTGATCTCACAAAGAGCAAATATATGAGAACATTATATGTGAAGTATAGGTGCGTAGAATTTCAGAGGCTAAAGCGCATAAATAAATTGACGCAAAAAATATAGATGTACCATGTTTGGGTGGTTATAATTTATTTCTTTTGTTTTCTATCCGTAACTTTGCCACCACTGATTGGATTTTCAATAATTGCAAAAACGTCGGGTCAAAATTTCATCATGGTCGGCACGGGCATTACGTATCTTGAAAAGTGATAAGTATCGAACAGACAGAGACAGATTGTCGTGGCTTTCTATAGTGTATATGGGGTGTTTCAAATTCGTCCCTCATCATTGGAATCTCGGAAACGGTGAGAGAAAGTCATAAATGGGGCCAAAGTTGCGTTTTTGGGAAACTAACAAAATGCGTCTTAGAAAGTTTCGAAACTCAAAGTACTTCCGCAGAGAGACGTTTTAATCGTTTTAATTTTTTTTCAGACTCTTATTTGCCGTACTAAACTAATCAATGCACGTACGTCGATGATAAAATCACGATGTCAAGAACATACTGACAACAAATTTATCTTAT